CCCCCCCCCCATTACTGTCCCCGTATTTACCAAGGAGGATCAGAGAGCATTATGGTTGGCCCAAGACAGCCAGTTGACTGTGAGCTGGGTTGTACTCAGGCTTCTTGAGTCTCAGCAGGAAAGGAACTGGGTGCCCACAGGGGTCCTTAGGCCCTGTACCCACCCAACTGACCAGCCTTTCTGGGGCTGCTTGGGAGCCCTGCTGGCCTCTTCCTCCTGCCACTTGAGTGAGGCCACCAGGCACCCCAAGAAGGGGGGTGGGTGCCGTGGTGACCTGGCTTCTGTCTACAGGGGGGAAGAAGGCTGTGCTGGACTCTAGCCCCTTCCTGTCCGAGGCCAACGCAGAGCGCATTGTGAGCACCCTCTGCAAGGTGCGGGGGGCGGCGCTCAAGCTGGGCCAGATGCTGAGCATCCAGGGTGAGTGGGGCCCCTGCCTGGTTCCTGGGCCCGGGGGGGGGTGGTTCTTTCTGCCCACTGGCTCCTCTTGCTTGAATCCTGGCTGGTGATCAGCCTGAGATGTTTAAGTGTCTTAAACAGGAGCCCACAGTCATTTTTCTTTTTTCTGGTTGTTTTGAGATACCTAGAGGTGGTCCTGGCATCTCAAAAGTTGATGAGTCTGGCTGCTGCCACCCACACACCCCTCCCTGTGTTGGTTGAAAGGCGCTAGAAGGGGGGCTCACAGTCCTGCCACAGTGTGATGTTGGGGGCAAGGGGCATGTGGCCGAACAGGAGGCTGGCTCTGTGACCCCAAGAGTAGAGCCAAGGTTGGGGGAGCCTCAGGGCTTCTAATGGTGCCCCCCCCACCAGCAGGAGTGCTCCAGAGGCTGGCACTCCAAGTGGGAGCATTTGAAAGCAAGGTCCTCTCACTAGCAGTTAGATGGACTCATTGAGTTGGCCAAGTGTAAGACAGAGGTAATGGGCAGGCAGGCCGGGGCGTAGGCACTGCCTGTGGTTGTGATACCCTGTGGCAGTTCCTATCTGAAGTCTTTTGATGCACAGACCCCAACTCCAGGAGTTCCACATCTCGTGACTTACCTTAAGGAAAGCCTTAGAGATGCGGTCAAAGCTCTGTGCAGGAGCTTCATCATGGGGTTCCTCGTGAGTGCAAATTCAGTTGTATACCTAACAGGGATATGTTCTGAGAAATGCATTGTCAGGTGATGTCATTGTGCAAACGTCAGAGTGTCTTAAACACACCTGGATGGTATAGCCCATTGCTTCTGGGCTCCAGGCCTGTTCAGCACATTACTGCACAAAACATGATATTAAGTCAGCACAAGAGAAAATGATGCAATCAGGAGATGCAAACACGAGATGTGTGAGGCTGCCGTAACACTGCGTACTGTTCTAAGTTTTATGTATTGATTTCAGAGAGTGAGACATTGATTGTTGTTGCACTTATTTATGCATCATTGGTTGATTCTTATATGTGCCCTGACCAGGGATCAAACCCACAACCTTGGTGATCAGGACAGTGCTGAGCTACCCAGTGAGGGCCAGTGTTTTAGTAGATAGAGTATGCTCTAAAGTAGCATGGAAAGTACAGTAAATACATAAGCCAGTAACAGTCGTTTATTATGAAGTATGACATACCGTACATAACTGTACGAGCTGTGCTTCTATACAACTGGTTTGTTTACACCAGCATCGGCACAAACATGTGAATAACATTGTGCTACCAGGTTATAGTGGCTATGATGTCATTAGGTGATGGGAATTTTTTAGCTCCATTATGATCTTATGGTGCCATGGGGTCATTGACTGAAACATTATTCGGGGCATGACTCTTAAAACACCTTGCTGACCGGCCACAAGTACGTGTGTTTCCATGTCCGAACATTGCTGACCGGTCATGAGATAAATTAATGTAAGTGCAGACACAAGTCATTTTAAACACCTTGCTGGCCGCACGGGCAAGTTCTGGCTCGAAATAGCTGGTCAGCAAGGTTACCAGAAGCTGAAGCAAGCAGTAGTGGGGCTAGCGGGCTGCATGACTGAACTTCTGTGGGGGATGTTAGACTCCCGCTGACAGTGCCACTGCAGAATATTTAAGACTGCTGCCCGAGGAAAGCAGGCTAGAACAGTATCCATGCAGTAGGACTACTGTTAGGAAAAAACACGGAAAAAGGGGCAGAAAGAAAAATCGTAGTTCTCTGCAGGTGGTCAGATTATGGGTATTTTTAACGTTTTACTATACTTTCTGTTCTTTTAATGATAAAAAGCTATGCCTGTTATTTCTAAGAAGCCTACCTTCTCAGGTCATTGGGTGAGTTGAGAGAACCACACTGCCTAACATCAGGGCCCGGGCTGCATAGGCTCACCTACTGCCCTGGTGGGAGAGGGTGCGATGGGCTGGGGTGCGGCTCTCTCCAGATATGGTGGCTGGCCTTGGTGCCCCAGGAGTGTGCACATCCTGGTCTGTGTCCTTTGTTCCTTTGAAGCTTTTGTCCACCTGTGCGCCAGGCGGGAAAATGCTGCCAGGGTGCGAGGGGGAATCTGAGGCTGGCTGTGCGCCTTGTCTCTGAACCTGGGGTTCCAGTGTGTGGGAGGGTAGAGCAGCCTCTCCCAGGTGACCACACTGTGGCAGAGATTGAGGTGGCCGCTCTATTCCTGGCCTCTGCTCTCTGATGTCTCTGGTGCCTTCCAGATGATGCTTTCATCAACCCCCATCTGGCCAAGATCTTTGAGCGGGTGAGGCAGAGCGCGGACTTCATGCCACTGAAACAGATGACGGTGAGGCAGGCGGTACACAGAAGCACCTGGGTCCTCCCAGCACCTCCTCTCCCTGCAGGGGAGCTTTTCAAGGTGCTGGGCTGTACTTATGCCCCGTTTCTGGCCTCTCCCTCTAGAAAACTCTCAACAGTGACCTGGGCCCCAACTGGAGGGACAAGCTGGAGTACTTTGAGGAACGACCCTTTGCAGCCGCCTCCATCGGGCAGGTGCACCTGGCCCGAATGAAGGGCGGCCGTGAGGTGGCCATGAAGATCCAGGTAGGTGCCCAGTGTGTGCACTCATCCCTACAGGCTCTGTAGTGTGGGGGCCTCTTGCAGGGCGGAGCCCCTGTCGCCATTTCTTGTCCCAACACCGGATCAGCACTGGGTACTGAGAAGTATTTGCCGAGTGAGTGGCTGTGGGAGGTGGAACAGCCTCCCAGCAAGCTTGGTTTGGGTGGGGCGAGGACAGGAAGTTAATTGTCTGCTTTGGGCCTGAGCTAGAGGGCTGGGGCCGAGTGGGTGGCTGTTCTGGGGGTGGGAGATGTAGACAGCTGTGACTCGCCCAAGGTGTGGGGTCCTGCCCTGTCTACCTGGAACACCCCCTCCGCTCCCCCTGCAGTACCCTGGCGTGGCCCAGAGCATCAACAGTGACGTCAACAATCTCATGACTGTGCTGAACATGAGCAACGTGCTTCCAGAAGGTCTGAGTGCTGGGCTCTGGGCATCTGAGGGGGCCTCCCTGAGGAGCCCTCAGCGCATTCTGACACCCTCCTCCCTGGTCCAGGCCTGTTCCCTGAGCACCTGATCGACGTGCTGAGGCGGGAGCTGGCACTTGAGTGCGACTACAAGCGGGAGGCTGCCTGTGCCAAGAAGTTCAGGTGCAGCTCCTGGCTGGGCTTCGGGCCCCTTGCCTGTTGCTTCCCCCAGTGGGAGACCAGGGACCATCTTTAGGAAGTCCATGGGGGAGGCGAGGACGGGTGGATGGCTGTGGGCAGGGTCTGGAGCTGTAGCCACATCCTACCCATTACAAAGCAGGGCCCTCCACTTCGATCGGCTCAGTCCCTTGTTGCCCTTCATGTCAACCCCAGGGTGGGTGTGGGGAGGATCTGGGCCCTGGGTGTGACTTCCCACCTCTGCCAGGGAGCTACTGAAGGACCACCCCTTCTTCTACGTGCCCGAGATCGTGGATGAGCTCTGCAGCCCCCACGTGCTGACCACAGAGCTTGTGTCTGGCTTCCCCCTGGACCAGGCTGAGGGGCTGAGCCAGGAGATCCGGAATGAGGTGTGTCTTCAGCTGGCCCTAGAGCCTCCAGGTGATCTCTGTGTGGCTGAGGGGGACGGGGCTGATATGTCCTCCCCCTCCCCCAGGTGGTACCCTTGGAATCAAATGTCAGCTGGAAGAAGGCAGGGCTGGGTGGGAGGTAGGAGTCAGGCTTCCCCAGCCCCAGACTCTCGGGTCACCAGGCCATCCCACCTACCACAGATCTGCCATCACATCCTGGTCCTGTGCCTGAGGGAGCTGTTCGAGTTCCACTTCATGCAAACAGACCCCAACTGGTCCAACTTCTTTTACGATCCTGAGCAGCACAAGGTGAGCCCCTGAGTGGGGGTGGGGGGCACACACAAGGGGCCTGAGAGGTCTGCTGGAGTGGGGGCTCTGAGATCTGAGCCTCCATTTGCAAACCTTCTGCTATCACCCATTCCCAGGTGGCTCTTCTGGACTTTGGGGCAACTCGGGAATATGACAAGTCCTTTACTGACCTCTACATCCAGGTAGGGGCAGGGCCTTGGCCCATGCTGTCCTGAGGTTGGGGCTGGATGTATCAGTATTGGGAGGGAGGGAGGCTGACCAGGCTCTTGTCTAGTTTGGTGACAGTGGGTGAGGTCATGTCATGGCCCTGTCAGGCTCACAGCACTGGCTGGGGCCTCCAAGGCAGGGGTCAGCATTTGGGGGAGAGGGGCAGGTGGTAGCTTCTGGCCCGCAGGAGCTCCTCTTTATGTGCTGCCCGTGGTGCTCTCCTGTGCCTCCACCAGATCATCAGGGCTGCTGCCGACAGGGACAGGGAGACTGTGCTGAAGAAATCCATAGAGATGAAGTTCCTCACCGGCTACGAGGTCAAGGTGAGCTCCATGGACTCTGGAGTCCCACAGGCCTGCTGCTCCAGGCGCAGCTACCTCTTGTGGGGGGAGGGTGGGCAGTGAATTCCTTTTTCCTTTGAAATCATAAACAGAACCTCAATTTATAAATGGGCGGGATCAGAGGTGATAGTCACCCTCGAGGGGTCTCTACAGAGCCCTGGGCTACCTCAGCAATCCGAAAGCCGGGTCCTGCCCCAGCCTCTGTGCTTGAGGCTCTCAGAGTGGCGGGGCTTAGGGACTTGTCATGAAACTCGTTTTTCCTTCTAACTCTAGCAACTTAGAGATTTGCGTCATTTGGTCAGTCATGCTGGAAGTTTCAGGGCTTGGGTGAGGGGAGCGTTGGAAGAAATCTTAGCAGTCCCTTTAAGGGACTGCTGTCAGTGTTCCTGTCACCCAGAAGCCACTCAGAAAGCACATTCCTGGAGAGCAGGGAAGGGTTGAAGGAGAGCCAGGTTGCCCTGCGTCTACCACCCATTCGGAGGCAACTGGAGCGCTTGAGACTATAAAACAGACCTTTCAGGCCAAAAACAAACTTTGAATCCGAGTGCTTCAGGTGAGGCTCACATCCTGTGTTCTGCTGTAGGCCCTGTTACTCCCTTTTGGAGTCCAGTTCACATTAATGTCGTTTTCCAGGCCCCTATAGGTTTATGCTCGTTACCACTGTTCAATCTAATTAAAAAATGAAACACCTCCCCACACTTCCCAACTTCAAAACCTAGTTTTGAGGGAGCGCTCAAGGCTGGCCCTGCCCCCCCCCTTCCTCTAGGCCATGGAAGATGCCCACCTGGACGCCATCCTCATCCTGGGGGAGGCCTTTGCCTCGGAGGAGCCCTTTGACTTTGGCACCCAGAGCACCACCGAGAAGATCCACAGCCTGATTCCCATCATGCTGAAGCACCGGCTCATCCCGCCCCCTGAGGAGACCTACTCACTGCACAGGAAGATGGGGGGCTCCTTCCTCATCTGCTCCAAGCTCAAGGCCAAGATCCCCTGTAAGGCCATGTTCGAGGAGGCCTACAGCAACTACTGCAAGAGGCGGGCGGAGCAGTAGCCGCGCAGTGGGAACTCAGCCCTGTGCAGCCGAAACTAGTAGGAAGCTGGTGGTGGTAATGCTCCGTTTAAACTCCTTTGCCCAAGGAGGGGTGGCAGGCTCCGGCGGGGAGGGGTGCTGCTTGGAGCCCCGGTGCCAGCGCTTATCCTGGTTTTTACTGCTAAGACGGTGCGGGGCGCGGGCGCGGGCGCAGGAATGAAAATGAAACAGCAGCTGTCAGAATCTGCCAGCTGTTTCTTCAGAGGCTGAATACTCTGGAAAGAGATCCGGCAGTTTTCTTCCCTGTTCCTTTTAGTAACAGGGCTTTACTTAAAGTGAATGTTAACCCAAAGGCGTGAGACTCCTCCTGTCAAGTCCCTGCCACCAAGAAAAATAGAGAACCCTTTTTGGATGTTATTGGACACGTGCATAAGGTTTGTGTATGTGTTTCTAGAATGAGATTTGTGTTTCCTGCCCTTTTCCTCTCTGGCTTGTGATCTGCAGCTGGGAGAAGTCAGATCTGAGCAGTGCCAACAGGTACTGTTTAACCAAGTGAGGCTGCTTTCTGGTTGGTTGCTGTACTTTTTGAGAACTGGAAGTTTCCAGAGAATTGCTGCCTCCCATGGGTAGAAAAGTGACAGCTCGTCTTCTAGCACGTGCTAGAAGATGGTGTGTGTGTAGGGGAACCTCTTTTCCCCTCCAGGCCCAGAAGCCTTTGCGGAAGGATATGAATGTGCAGATGTTACCTGGTTAGACCTGAGGGGTCCTCACAGGCTCTGTTAATTTTTTTAAAATTCATATAATTGTCTGATTTACTTGTTTCAATAAAAGCAAAACATCCTACCACTGCGGCATTAATTCTTTCACTCCTAAAGAGCTCTGAGCCGGTGGGGAGGAGCCCAAGGTCAGTGTCACACCCCATCCTGCCTCCAGATGCTCCTGCAAGGTTTGTACATGTTCCCAGCATGAGGCTCTTGGTGCCTGAACCTGGCAGGCTTATTAGCCCACATTCATCATCAGAGGAAGGGGAAAGGGACACTCTGCATACCCCCAGGGCCCGTGCTCCTGAGCTTCAGTGAAACCACCGTAAGAGATCAGCTGCAATGGAGGAACACTTCCTGAAAAGTGGCTTTTCCAGGGTGGGCGAAATTTCTAGGTAACGGGGACATTTTGAACATTCAGGTGAAGGCTCTTCAAACCGACTGTGAACACCTTGAAAAGTTCATTGCGGGGTGAAATAACTTGGAGAGGCTGCACTGGTCCCAAACAGGCTCTCAGATTTCTATGTGCAGTCTTGGATTGATAAGTAACGGACAGGCTGGCGTGGTCTGGGAAGTCTCCGTGACAGCTGCTGCCCCTTGAGGGTTAGCCCTGGTACCCAGCACTACCTGCCAATCCCTTGTCAGAACAGTTCATCCAGATTTCTTCACTTGCACATGGAACATTCTCCAGAAAACACACACTAGGCCACAAAACAAGTTTCAACGAATTCAACAAGACAAACCACATCAAGCATCTTTTCCAACCACAGTGGCATGACACCAGCAATCAACTACAGGAAGAAAACTGGAAACAAACAAGCATGTGGAGATTAAACAACATGATCCTAAAGAACCAATGAGGATCAAGAGGAAGTCAAGAGCTATCTTGAAACTAATGAAAATGAAAACATCACTTTTCACATGTATAGGTTGCAGCAAAAGCAGTTCTACAAGGGCATTTCAGTTCTACAGGCCCACCTCAAGAAACAAGAAAAATCACAATCTAATTCTACATAAAGGAACTAGGGAGATAAAACCTCAGGTAAACAGAAGGAAGGCAATAGTTAAGATCAGGGCAAAAATAAAATAGAAATTTAAAAAACTAGAAAAAAAATCAATAAAACAAAATTGACAAACTTTTAGCCAAACATAAAAGAAGGCCCAAATAAAAACAAATTACAACTGATACCACAGAAGTACAAAAAATCATTAACAGTACTATGAACAATTATATGCCAACAAATTTGACAATCTAGAAGAAATGGATACATTTCTAGAAAATGTAGGCCTTACAACACTGAACCAGGAAATACAAAATCTAAACAGACCGATTACTAGCAGTCAAGCTGAAGCCGTAATCAACACTCCCGCCCTGGCCAGGTGGCTCGGTCCAAACATCGTCCAATACACCAAAAGGCTGCAGGTTCGATCCCTGGTTGGGGTGCGTAAGGGAGGCAACCAGTCAATGTTTCTCTCCTCCTTCCTTTCTCTAAAATCAATTTACAAAACATATCCTTGGGGGAGGATTAAAAAAACCCCCCAAAACTCCCAATAAATGAATTCTACCAATCAAAGAAGCACGGATACTGCTCCTTCCTAAACTATTTCAAAAAAATTGAAGAGGAAGGAATGCTTCCAAACTTACTTCATGAAGCAGCATTACCCTGATACCAAAACCAAAGACATTAAAGAAAATAAAATTACAAGCCAATATCCTTGATGAACATAGATACAAAAAAGTTCCGGAACCCTAAAGATTTCACTAAAAAACAACTGATAAAGGATTCAAAATTAATACAGAAATTGGTTGCAATTAACAATCAGAGAAATTAAGAAAATCCTATTTACAATTGTATCAAAAAGTATAAAAAATACTTAGGAAGAAATTTAACCAAAGTGTTGAAAGGTCTGTACTCTGAAAACTATCAGACACCGAAGGAAGAAACTGAAGGATACACAAATAAGTGGAAGGAGATACTGTGCTCATGGGCTGGAAGAATTAATATTGTTAAAATGTCCCTACTACCTAAAGCAATCTACAGATGGGGTGCAACCCTATTAAAATACCAATGGCATTCTCAGAACACTAAACCTAAAATTTATATGGAACCACAAAAGACTCTGAATAGTCCCAAAAAATTTGAGAAAAAACAAAATGGGAGCACCATGCTCCCTGAGATCAAACAATAATATAAAGCTACATTTTTCAAAACAGTATAAATAGTACTGGCATAAAAACAGATACAGTTCAATGGAACAGAATAGCCCAGAAATAAATCCTTGCTTATAGGGTCAAGCTATGAAAAAGAAGGCAAGGATATACAGTGGGGAAGGGACAGTCTTCAATAAGTGGTGCTGGAAAATAGGACAGATCCATGCAAAAAATGAAATCGGACCGCTCAGCACATTGTTTGCGGGTAGTTTTTATCGCGCGCTCTACCACCAGTCAACGTAAAACGTATAAATACGTTTCCCGCATACAATGTGTTAACACTCCAAACATAAACTGGAAATGGATTAAAGAGTGTGGTATTTAAGTCCTGAAACCATAAAACCACTAGAAGGAAACAGGCAGTGAACTCTCTGACATCACTCTTAGCAGTATCTTGAATGTTTCCTCAGACAAGGGAAACAGAAGAAAAAAACAAATGGTACTCCAGTACATCAAACTAAAAAGTTTTTGTACAGCAAAGGAAACCATTAACAAAATGAAAAGAAAACCTACTAACTGGGAAGGTATTCACCAATGATACATTTGATGGGTTAATATCCAAAATATATAAGGAACTCATACAAATTACCACCAAACAACCTGATTAAAAAAATGTGCCAAGGACCTGACAGACACTTCTCCAAAAAGGACATACAGGTGGCCAACAGACATGAAAAGATGCTCAACATTACTAATCATCAGGAAAATGCAAATTAAAACCACAATGCAGTATCAATGCACACCTGTCAGAATGTGTCTCATCAATAAATCAACAGTGTTGTGAGGGTGTGGAGAAAAGGGAAGCCTTGTAAACCGTTAGTGGGATTGTAAATTGGTGCAGCCACTATGGAAAACAGTACGAAGATTGCTCAAAAAATTAAAAATAGAGCTGCCATACTATCCAGCAGTCCCACTTCCAGGTATTCGAAAAAATCCAAAACACTAATTTGAAAAGGTGTCTACATCTCTATGGTCATTGCAGCTTTACTAGCAGAGCCAAGATGTGGAAGCAACCTGGCCGTGCAGACTGACAGGTCCTAGGAAGTCTGACCAGAAGCGAGGAGTTGAAAGCTTCAAGAGAACTGAACACAATTCTTACCTGAGCTATGGAAGGAACTAAGGAAGTCCTGGGTTAAACTAACCCCACGTCCTTCCGCAGTGTATGGAGGAAGCCTGGGCGAGGAGGGGGACCGGCAGGAAGTAGGACCCTATAAGACGGAAGAGTCAGTCACCTTTCCTCCATTCCTCAGACTTTATAATCAGGGAAAAAAAGACAAAATCCTCAGTTCTAACAGTTCCCTGTTTTATTGCAATACATCAAAGTCTGGTTAATATTAAGTGATACCAACATAAAATATTGGCTAGGAGTCTTTTGTTACATTTTTTTACTATTCCACCTTAAATATTTCTGTGCAAATTGAATCCAAGCCGTTGTTTGGTAGCAGAGAATCTCTTATAAAGTTCCCTAAGACATTGAGGACATAAAACCAAACTAAATGAAATGAGGAGTGATAAAAGGCCAGAGCAATGTATTTTCCCCTTCCACACACATATTTGTCAGCTTTATACTCTAAACAAAAAAATGATTACACCTAGGCCATGCAAACCTGTACAATAATATTACAATGAGAAAAAAAAACCTAAAAATTTTTATAAAACAACTGTTATTACACTATCAAATAAAAAGGCAGATCATTTGTTTTCATGAAATCCAGGGCTGATTGGTTTTGTCAGTTTCCCCCCCAAAATGAAAAGGTCTCCTGTGTGCAATGGCTGTGCCTGGGAAGGACGAGAAGCCCGGCCTGCTGGCGGCTGCTGGGCTGGGAGGTGGAGCTCAGTGAAGGAAGGACTCGCAGAACGCTCTGGACTAGAGTAATAAAGTCGTAACAAGGAAAGAGGTTTAGCGAGAGGCTCAAGGAAGTGTCCTGAGGCTCATCGAATGCAGGGGCTGGGCCGGGGAGGGGGCAGCGATGTGCCCGTTATCTTCCACTGTGCCCAGCAGAGTTCGCCGAGTCTGACCTCTGCTGAGAGTGCCGCTCTATCCAGAAGGTGGGTGGGGAGCTGTCCGAGGCCCCACCCGCTGAGACCACAGTGTGTGGTCACTGTCAAAGGCCAGCAAAGGGCCCTGCTGTACGTGAGGGTTAAGGATGTCCACCTATCCCTGCTCTGGCTTTTCTCTAACGATACCTGAGAGTCCATGTAAATGCAACTGGTCTTGCACAGAAGTAGATGTGGCCGCTAGGTAACAAAATGACATGACTCTAACCATATGGAAGGCAGAGAAAGGCCGAGAGCCAGCCAAGGAATGACAGATTGTTGCTGTAAACATAATAGAAATTTCAGATTCTTCCCTGAAGGTTGGGTACAAGGACTGCTTGGAAAACTAGAGCTGGACCCTTTTTAACTGTATCTCAGCCTTAAAACTGTGCTCCCTGGGGAAGAACAAAAATCACTAACTGTAGGGGTGTGTGTGTGTGTGTACACACACATAATTAAAGAAGTGAAATCGACTTTAGTAATCATTTGATAAGAAGGCTTCTGTTTTTGGCAAAAAGAAATATATATGTATATATATAATTTCATACACCCAAAGCACATGACAAGATTAGTCAGAGTTCAAGGGTAGATAACAACATTGGCTGGACATAGATAGCACCAAATACCAACACGGAGACTATGCCAGAAACGCTTCATTTATTTTTCCTTTCTACTGAGAAGAGAACTGAGTTCCTGCTGCCATATATGTTTTTAAAATGTCCTCCACAAAAACAAGGGGTGACCCCAGACACCATGGAACACCTTACCGTGATCTGTTACTGATCACTGCTTTCCGTTTCCCTGGCTCTCCTGCCCCATCAAACCGTTCCTCTCAAAGCTTCTGCAGGTACCTGCTTCACATTGGGGATAAGACCAGGCGGATGGTCATTATCTTGGGAACTCCTCAGAACTATCACCCCTGGCAGAGTTTCTCCCCAAGTCCTGCTGTCAGAATCTAATCACATTTGGGACTGCTCTATTACGACTGATAAGACCACTTACAACTGCTATGGAAAAACCAAAAAGTGCCGTGTTATCTCCTGGGTTAACATTAACATGCTGCCCTGTGAGCCCAGCAGCCCGAACAAGCTCTCTCCTCCCCTGTTGGGAGGCCAAAGGGTATGACTCACTGTGGTGGAGTCCAGACTTCAGGTAGGGTTATATTTTCATCCTAAAAACATCCTTTAAAAAGTAAGCACCTACAGACAACAAAAATTCACTTAGTCATCAAAGAGATAAACTAATGGCTTAGAGTCGAGTCCCTGGGAAGAGGAGGGGGTGAGGGTAGGTGAAGGAATGAAGGGGAAAGGGAGGGTCAGGAGGAGGGGGGTTGCTGGCCACAGGCACTTAGCCACTGGCTGGCTGGCTGCTCCTCTCCTGGGAAATGCCAAGTTTAAGGAGCTGCCAGAGTCATATGGCAATAACCAAACTGAAGGTCCAACCCTTGATAACAGAGGTACACAGTATTTTTACATGACACTTCTTTTCCAAAAGCAGAAAGATGTAGGAGATTAGAACTATGCCCATCCGAAGTGAAACAGTCAAACCTGAGCAAGTACCCAGTCCAGAATGTCCAATGTCAAAGCTTAGCGTCATTTTTAACTTCTCTACTGTAACCTTTTGCAATCTAATCCCCAAACAGGATCCTCTCTTCTGTCACTGAACCTCAGTGACCTTCTCTAAAGAGGAGCATCAACTTGGAAATAGTCTCAGCTCCCTGTGGCCCTGGTGGGAAGGCAGGCGCGGCTGCTGCTAAGAGGGCGTGAACCCAGGGTGGCAGACAGGGCTCCAACCCTGAAGTTCAGACCAGCAGCTGCAGGAAAATGCTTCCACTTTAGCTAAGGTTCACAGAAGAGAAGAAAAGAATCCTGTTTCTTCTCAAGTTTAAGATAAGCAGAAAAAGAGATTTCTCTCTGCTTCCATGAGGGATGTTTATTTCTACCTTTCTCCACTCATGTGCTTAATTGGTGAAATGGCTGGAAAATAAAGTTCTTCTGGTTCTGCATCTCATTTCCTTGTGGTAATTAAAGCAGCAGGAATCAAATGGAAATGTGGCTAACAACACACTGTAGCAAATGAGGGAGGAAAAGCTTGTGGAGGAGGCTCGCTGCCCTCCTGGGCGCACTTCCTGCCTGCCCACTGGGTGAGCGTTCATTTCCCACTGGGCATGGGAAAGAATATTTGGTTAAGGCTGTTCAAGTCCTTGCATCTGAGGTTTTTATATTATTTGGTAATTAAACCCCTTTCCCAGGCTTATCTGAGGAAGCTGGCACCACACTAAAAACAGGCCCCTCCTAGGAAGCTGGCTCAGCCAGGGGAGACACCGCACTGTAACTCTGGAGGGATGGGGTCAGCTCAGCAAAAAAAAAACTTCTCTGAGCCTCTGACAGCCCTTCAGAAGCCAGGGCATTCCTGTGTCAGATGGAGTCAGAAGGCGACAAAACTGCATTTCTACATTCATCTGCAAAGGTACCACGGTATCAAAAATGAGACGTGTGGCTCAAATTCTAGCAGAAAAGGAAACGTCTTGGATAGAAGAAAAGTTGGCTTTTGATGCTGCTGCTGCTGAAGAGGCTTCAAATGTTTCGTCTGGTGCCCGGGTCATACCCCAAACCATGAAACCAAAGTGACTGTTCTCCTAAAGCCCCCAGGGGACCGGGACCTGTACCAGTCTGAGGACGCGGCACTAAAGGGAACCCTCTCGCTCTCCCTCTGTAACGTCAGCCTGAGGCTTTCTACACCCTTTAAATTACTTAGCTGGAGAACAGACAAGAAACAACACACTTCTTTAAATTAAATGATCTCTCTCTTATATATGCATCCATCTTCCATTGAATACAAGATGCTTCTTTTTACTATATACATTCAGTATTTACCCTCTACATTTGTGTATTTATTTAAACTCTGTATTGTAGTAAAATATGCATTGTTTTAGTTAATAAGGATTTACTGGCAACGATCAGGTCGACATTCACTGGGTGCTGGAGGAGAGCTTGGCTGCGGCTCCAGGACCCACTGGGGAACCATGTGCTATCTCGGGACTACACTGAACTCTACTGTGAAATTGTCTGTCTAATCTTACTCTTAGCGCTTACATTTGTGTCATCTGTCTACTTAAGCTACCGTTTTGGGGGAGGGGTAAAATATTATGGAAAGCAATCTAAGTGTATGAAATGAAATCATATTAATCTAGGCTGTTCCATGAACATCTGCCTTTATGGTTGTTGCAGCCAATGGAGGGGCGAGGGTCTGGGAGTCATGTCGTCAGAATCCCTGGGTCCCCATCCTGCTGCCGCCAGGCCTACGTGTTCAGGCAGACGTGGAGGGAAGAGAGGGAAGTGAGAGAAGGGGGAGGAGAGCTAAGAGAGAGAGCAGCAGCTCTGGTCTGGCCTGAGGGCCGAAGCAGTTCATGGGTCCCAGGTCCCGCGGTCAGTGCTCTCTAGAGAGAGGCTCTTGGTCTTCCGTGGTGACACTGGGCTGGGAGGGCTGCTCAGGTTGGAACTGTTGGAAGCTGTGGAATGCCTCGGAGAATCAGAGTCCTGTAAGGCCCAAAGGAAGACATTAATGACAAGCCGAGGGGCAGGAGGGACTCAAGTGCCCACCAGTCCCTACAAAGCCACCCTAACCGCATGACCTGATGTGACTTTTCTGACAGGACAAAGCCCCCTTTCTGAGCTAAGAAGCACACAGTGTAACAAACACTCACAGTCCTTTCTGCAAGCCCTTAGAGACATAGGTCATGTTCACACAAAAGCTATGAGAAGTCTCAACACCTCCAGGAAACTTGAGTCTGCAACCCCAGTAATTGGCTTTGCCACCCCCCACTGACAGTGAACACACTAGTCCATGGACCATAGGAGTTCTCCTAACCATCTCCAGACAGTTGCCACACACACTCCACTCACCTCTCCATCAAAGTCCCTGACCGGGGCATCGCTTCCTTGGTCCATGCCTCCAGAGGACAGTGAGCCCTCTGATGGGGAGGGCAGGGGTTGCCGCTTTGCACTGTAGCTTCCTCCAGAGAGCTCTCTCTTTAATGCACTGCCATTCTGTGCCGATGACCCTACAGTAGTACATCATTCAGGTAAAACTTGACACATGCCCAAGGGGATGACAAGCCATCCTTCCCACTGCCCCAGGTCATCCTCCCGGCTGAGTCCTTCAATGATGGACAGTGAGTCCAGTTGCATGACCCTGGCTCCCAAGCTCACTCCAGAGCCCAGCTACCTCACATGGCTGCTCCTGCTCCAGGGCAGCCATTGGGGACGCCTGGTGAGTGGGCAGCACCCTTAAGGCTACCTGCCTCTGCACTCATTGGCCATGCCTGATTGCCCAGCTTGCTGGACACTTCCCACAGAATCAGTCCTCAGGTCTCCACTCTGACGCTACTGCCTCGGTGAGTCCTTCCCGCTGCCGGAGCTCCTACAGCACCTCGCCATCTCGTTCACAGCACCTATGCTGCTATGTTATAATTACGCGCCTGCCATTCTCCTAACGGTGCATGGTCTCTGCCCCACCAGGGCCAGCACAGGACCTAGCACAGGGCAGGTACTCAAACACATGCTGAATGACCAAGAGCAGGACATTTCCCCGAAATAATACCATCCTCCCTGATGCACAACTGTCACTGTACTCTTAGAGAATTCTCAGGAAACACTAAGGCACATAACCAATTTCATTATACAGGGCAAAAAGCCCAGGATAAAAAAATGAGGTGAGTGCCTTTAAAATCACTCTGTTTGGTCTTAGAGTTTGGATACATAAGAGGGAGACTAGAAGCATTCAGAGGAACAAAAGGGGGGGGGAACCTTTGGAAACATTGGGCCACTGTTAGTATTTAAAGCTCTTAGCATTTCCTATTTAAATTTTTGCTTAAGAAAAGTTTTAATCTTGCTGAGCTTCAATATTAAGATCATTGGTCAAAAAAGATTGTTGCAGTTTTTGTACAAAGATAGATGGTGATTTTTCAACTTTTCGCTGGTTGAACAAATCCCAACTTAGGTTTTTTTTACATTAAGAATTCAATAAAAATTTCCAAAGATGACGAAGAGCTGTTTCTAAGAATGCAAATTCCCTACTTACAACTCTTCAAAGGCTTTCCATTCAGTTTTTTGTTTTTTAAATAATAAAAGACTTACCACCCTGGTCGGGTGGCTCAGTTGGTTCTAGTGTCATCCTGTGCACCAAAATGTTGCAGGTTCAATTCCTGGTCAGGTCACATGCCTAGGTTGTGGGTTTGATCCCTGGTCGGGGCACCTATGGGAGGCAACTGATAGATGTTTCTCTCTCACATCGATGTTTCCCTCTTTCCCCCTTACCCTCTCTATTAAATTAATTAAAAAAAAAAAAAGTCTCACCTTGTTTCCAAGTCCCTGCTTGATCTGACCCTTGCCTACCTCTTGCACTTGTATCCATTACTCCTGACCACCACCAGGGAGCCACACTGGCCTCCTGTCAATTAATCCAACATGACTCAAATGTGACCACACCCCTAGGAGGGCATGTGATTTTCCTAACTGTCCTCAGTACATTTCATCCCAGCAGCTGCCCCAGTTCCATTGCTGCACCATTTATTTCCTCCAGATCGTCCATTGTCACACTCTGGCATTACTTACTGATCTGTCTACAAGGTGACCTGTAGCTCTAAAAGGGCCCTAGGACTATCTGCTTAACACCTGCACTCTGCTTACTAAGCACACCCACAGGCCTGAGACCTGGAGCCTTGGTAATGCATGGGTCCTGCGCGTCAGCCCACGGGACAGGCCGGGCAGCTCGCGGGTGCGACCATGCCTTCCTGCAGCTGTGCCACTTACTTGCGGATAGGCCGCTGCTGGCGCTCATGGAGCGACCAGGTTCAGGGCGGGATTTGGTGATCGATGGAATACTGACTGAGCCACTGAACACTGTCCGACTTTCCTGAGGCCGAGGGTTCTAAAAACAAGAAAGAGAAAAATCCTTCAGTCAGAGAGCAACTGGTTTTCTGCACAGGTGTCTATTTTCACCATAACTTCGAGAACTAAAAGGATCTTGACTACAGCGACACAGAACAAGGAACAGGTAACATAATCCCTCCTGCCCACAAAAGTACTAAAGCCCTAATGAGCAGAAGTAGCCCTCAGCCCACATAAGTAGTACTTGTCCTTAGCTTACTGGAATACTTATCCACAAATAAGAAATTTCCTGTTGTGAGAACAGTAAGTTACATGGTTAGAAGGACAGTGAAGGGTAGAATTACATGGACACTTGCAGATAAGTGAAACAAAGCTTTTACCATGTATGAGATTCTTAGTTGCTTATGATAACTCAATAGCTGGATAAACCCATGGGGAGGAAAAGTCAATTAAGAGCACATTCTTTCAAGTAAAGGTTTCACTGGCATGATGCAAACATGCCATTCACATGTTCCTGTCCCCAGTCACCAGGCATCCTCAGCCCCGCGTCAACAGAGCAGCACTGAGTCATAAGCAGGACGTCTGCAACAATCACAGTCCACGTGAAGTGATTTAACTTGGCATTATTGGTATGAGAAGTTTTCCATCTAATTAGTGAATGACTTTGGTGTCTAGGGTAGAAAAATGGGCTAGAGTGATTGGTGAGTTACACGCACTAGGGAGGTGGCGTGCAGGACGAGTTGTCTGAACGTGGCCGAGAACACAACCAGTGGCCTCCCTGGTGACTCCAACCTTTCAGACCAGAAGGGATGTCAGAGGTGACGCCTAGAGAAGTTTATCACAAAACAAGAAACGCAGGGCCAAAGCAGCCCTGCAAAGCATGCACTGCCGTCGCCTGAAAACTCCGACTCCTACACTTTGCAGAATCACACACACTGGCCCCAAATTCCACCACTGCCATTTTGGTTCCTATATCAAATTTGCAAAGTCCATGTAATTCTCAGTGTTATTTGTTTAAAGCAAATTTTTTACTTTTTTTCTCTAAGAAATTAAAGAATTTTGAACGGAAACAGTCAATGCTAACATTTCAACATTCGCACATCCAGGGGCAACCCTTTCAGATGCCAACGAGGTGCATGGGATGGGGCAAAGGAAGAGCAAAAGGGGTGGGACTATTGGCTTCACCCTTACATTCTATTGCTTTTCTATCAACCTCAGGCTACCTCAGTGTTGCCCTTTTCTATAAACAAACCTACCCTGGAATTAATGGCAAAAATTAAGCCTATAAAAATATATCAGTTCTTTAGTAACACTGAATGCTAAAGTAATAAAAGAATGACACACAGAAGATATGTTTTGTTTAAAAAAAACCCCAACCCAACGGTTTATAATTCATTCAGCTGAAGTTCAACTTCATTATAAAGTGATATGAAACCTAATCCGCTGGTCCTCATGTACAAATATGCTTAAGATCAGGACGAGAGTTCCACTGACAGTAATGTTTGTATTTACAAATGATTAACTTAAGCAACATTACCACCATCTTTTTATACGAAAAGCCTTGACTGATTTACACAACTTCTAGAATCCACGCCCTGCAATCTATTTCCACAGTGAGGTTTACTTTATGATAAGTAATCTTATTTTGTTAAATAAGATACTTAAGTGATAGTTTATGGTCAATTACAATGACATTTAAAACATTATAATTTAGAATAATTTTATACAAACGAAAGTATGAAAATGAACTTCTCAGCCTGTAGCTAGTTTTCTTCTTGGAAAATTAATTTACTGTATATACAAATAAAAAGTTGATGCTACCATTTTTCTAAGCCAGAGGGCACTATGGGAAATGGGTTTGCATTATACCATCCAAGTATTTTATCTGTAAAACTAACTTGAGAAAATGTTCCCTTGAAGTTATAAGTATAGGCATGTATTTCTTGATGGAAAATGGATATTCAGTGTTAATGCCACCCGCTCTCCACTGCGAAGCCACCAGTTACAAAGACTAGAGGCTGGACGGATGGATGGACTGATGGCAGGCGTCATGGCCGGGCCTCTGAATGCAGCACAGTTGACGTTTCTTCTTTGATTTGGTTATCTTGGATCCCGGTTGGAATTAAAGGCACATCAGCAACTCAAATATTAGTAAGACTACTTTCTTTTTGTAATTTTTCCTGTTATTCATGAATACTATTATATTTTTTATTTTGGAGCTTTTTAAGCTTTTCCAGAGGGGCTTATTGTAGAGAGGAGGCCTACGACAGGCCCTACCGCAGACTTTAATGTCACTAAATATCAAACAGTTCTCTGAATGAGCTATGGAAAATTCAGAAATTCTGGGACCTCCTCTTTGTTGCTAACAGAATAAAGACCACCTTGGGGACTATTTCTTACCATGGTATCTGTAATGGAAAATACCATGATGGGAAATATTTTATTAAACACACAAAAACCTCCAATAGTTTCAAAAATAAAACTGACATCCTCCCTGTCTTCATCTTTTCCTTCAAAAGAAGAACCAACATAGAACCTGAAGAGGAGGGGGAGGACCAGAAGGGAACGTTTGCAGAATGGACCACTTTGGGGGTTGCTCGAGGGTTACTTGGGGGGCCAGGCAGAGGACAGCCACGCAGCGTTAGTAAAAGTTAACACCCGACTCAGTTGTTCATACCCTCAGAGTCATAAAGCTGGGTGTACCGGGGACAGAGCGCAGAGACGGGGAATGTTCAGGGTTTACGGAATCAGGAGAAAGAAATTTTTCAGCAGAATTGACAGTCATGTGATAGATGTGCTCAAAGTTGATCGGAGAGGAGATCAGACTGGAGTGATGATGAGGGGATGGGTAAGGGAAGCCTGGCTACGAAAACAACAGAGAAAACAGTGATGAGGCAATGAAAGGGACTCACTGGTCACATGTGACATTTCAGACAACATGCACAGAGCAAAATGAAGCAAGCACCTCACATCAGATACGAATCCCTAATGAAACACTTCTAGGCCTTAGAGAGTTCAATTTTGTAATCCTCTCACACCAGGTACTTACATAGCTGATTTGCAAGGAAACATTCACCTTATAAAATTATTTTCTTCTATTACTATGATCAAGCGAGTGGAAACTGGACTTTCAGAGTCACAAGGACACTGTCAGAGTTCACGTCAGTATTTTCTTAAGTGAGAGAATCAAAACATGGCAAAAATCTACCAAAAACATTAGGATAGGAAAAGCAAGAAATAAGAACAAGGGAACCGACAACCAGCCTCTCACCAGAAGTGTTATGAAACTGTTTCTTTCTTAAATTGAATTTATTGGGGGTGACAATGGTTTGCAAAACCATACAGGTTTCAAGTGTACAACTCAATAAAACAAACATCATTCCACAGTTACTATTTTATTATAGGAAAATAAGATCAATAAAAGCAAATTCATATCACAAACCTATAAAGACCAGGAAACATTTCTTTAGAAACCTAAAACCATTTCCTGGTCATTATAGATTTGTGGTATGAATTTGCTTTTACTGATCTTGTCCTATAATAAAAATGGTGACTATGGAATATATTAATTACTGGTTTACCTTTAAGCAGCCTAAGCTTATCTCTATTTAGACACCCAAAAGAATAGGTTTGTTTTTAACAAGGGAAAAACCTTCCCTTAAATGTTCGGGCATATTTTTTAAAAATAATGTAAAGCTAAAGCTAAAGCTAAAGCTACAGAAAAAAGCTTTTGAAGCCAAGGACTCTAGTTTTCAGATAAAAACTTCTGAATATTTGGGAAATGTCACTCAGTACCTAGTCACCTTCTCTACTGGGAGTTTTCAAGATTCAGTTCTTGAACAACTGTTTCCAGGAAACATCCTGATTCCTTACTTGAAGGCAGAGGGGTGAATGGTTTGCTGCAGAGAACAATGACTGAATTTATATTCTTATGAGTTGAGTTAAGCTTGCTTTGTTTAAAAAAAAAAAGTGGTGAATTACATAGGCTTAAAAGAAAGGCTCCTATATAGGATATTGTTTTAAATTTAAAGTGAAATCAGTACTTTTGAAGGTTATTTCCAAAAAGAAAAAAAACTATTGATGTAAATGTAACTTTGATTTTAAGAGACAAAATTACTTCTTAAAGCTCTAAGAGGTCATTGAGCTAGAAATTGTATTAGTAACTTTAGAAATGGATAAAAGGCTAAGAAAAAGAAATCTTCTAGAGGTAAAATATTCTTCTTGCATTCAATTGGAGACAAATTTGTCATCTGTTACCAGTATCCACTGATGAAAAAATGCAATGGACAAAAAGGATTCAAGAAACTAATACAGCACGTACTTCTTAGATACAATGCTACTTTATTTTAATTGCTTATATACTCTTGGCTCACTCAGACACATGTGAGAGCTCATCTGATACAGGAGATTCCCTTGTTATCTCTTCACATCCATAAGGCAAACAACCCCATTTCAGAACCATTTTGGTACAAAACAAACAGAATTAAGCTTCCAAAGACATCCAATAAACTCTCCAAGCTTGTAAGTATTTCATAGGGAAGCGATACTGATGTAAGTATAACATAAAATGTCTGAGGTGCATGCTCTTTGCTCTGATGACAATGCATGGCTTTGGTATTTGAAAATTCTTTATATATGTTAATGTTAGCTTAATTTAATTCATCTTTATTTTTAGAATCCCATTTCAGTAGAAAGAACATCCTCAATTCTGAGAATCTATTAGAGTATACAAGCTTTTCAATAAATACAGGTACAGACATGCATCGTGTTATTTTTTCCAGACATGCACTGTTATTGTTTTGTTTACCAATCTCTACCCCAAGACAAGCATGGCTCTGTGTAGACAGTATACCAAGAAATATTTGCTAGGTGATTAAACGGATGCCTATGAAAAGCCCCAGTTTGTATGTCCTTTGCTAGTGAAAGGTGAAAAGAAATTAAGACATTACTGTGAAAAAGAGGAATTCACACACAATCTTTGATGCAATACATGTATAGGTGAGGTTTCAAAAATTTACACTAACTTCTTTTCTTAGAAATACAACAGTGCTTACATGATAAGAAAACATGAAAAGAATGGGAGGAACATTAAAAACTGCCAGGGCAAAAAGTCACTCGTGTTTACAACAAAAGGAATCAACAAGGCGGTCACGGGTTATAAGCTCAGTGACCACAAATACTAGATATCAAGTGGTCCTGACGGGAATGAGGAGCCAGCACAGAAGGCCATGGCGTCAGGTGGGTGACAAACCTTTGGGAAATGCTACTTGAACTTGATTTGCTTAGTAATAAAGCCTGGAATTTACTTGGAACAAAAACACAAGAGACAGATTTCTTTTCAGTGGAAAAAGAGTAAGGAGTGATGCTCTGATATAAAAGTTCTTACAGTGCTTGAAATCTGACATTTAGCTTCTGCATATGAAGCTTATTCAGGTGTATGAAGATCACGTCTAACTGTGTATGAAGGTCCAGAGAATTCTGGAACATTAGCAAATTGATTTTTTACCTGATGGCAGAAAATACCAAGCAGAGAAACATTTTATTAAACCCTAAAACTATTTCACCTTAAGGAAGATACTGTAATATATGTGATATAATAGAATTAATTTAAAATTCTTCTTCTTGCTATGTTGTTGGGATACATGAGATGAAAACTATATTCTTTTTTGTGCACCAAAATGAAGTAAAAGTGAAAGAAATTTTAATTTTAAAAGGACAATACCCATTAAATAACTACTGAAATAATTCTGTATTTGCTGATGTGTTGCTTTGTGACACATGTTTGAAATGTGTATCCTTCAATCCCTCCATAATGCTAACTATGTCAGGTGTGGAAAAACTACTCACTAAATTTCAAAAAGTTTCATTAAAAGAGTACGTAATACTCCATCTATCACATAGAAGCTACAAATATATTCACATTTCAACTGTTTATCATAATTAGAAAAGTCTCTCTTAAGGTACTTTGTACGTGGCATGGTAACTTCCATTAAGGCAAAGGGACAGAGGCTTTGTGCTGTGTGGCCGTTATGTTTCCTTCTGAGAAAAAGGGAAAACGGACTAAGGACTTTATGCACATGTTCAGGATGGGAAAAGAAAGGAGAGAAATCTGAAGTCTCAGCCCCAGGGAAAAGCTGAAAAAATAGTATAGCTTTTAATATAACAGTTTAATATTTAGACTCAGCCTTTACTTATGCCCAATATTTCAAGGCTGATATTTATTCTCAAGCTTAATTTTTTTAGTTTTAATCACTATATCAAGATTAGCTGTGCCCGGCCACGTGTGGCTCAGAGGTTGAGCATCGGCCTAGGATCCAGGTGATCGGGGTTTGATTCCTGGTCAGGGCACATGCCCGGGTTGTGGGCTTGATCAATGACTCTCTCATCATTGATGTTTCTATCTCTCTCCCTTTCCTTTCCTCTCTCTGAAATCAATAAAGATATATTTAAAAAAAAAAAATTAGCTGTACTCTTTTTGTACATTTACATTTACCCAGCACAGATAATAAAAATCCCATTCCAAAAGGATAAATGACTATTATGAATGATTTGAACTCAAAGGAAGGAACATTCCTTGAACCATATAACAATGTCTGAATGATAATTAAACAGTGACAGTAAGAATGTCACATTCACTCATAAGCAGGGCCAACTGGTTAGTTGGGATATTTACAATGAGGAACTTGGACTCAAATGCACCCACTTTTTTTTTTTCCTCCCATGAAATAAATGCTAAACTATCTGTAACGGCTTTAATTTTTTATTAAAAAAAAAACTTGACCACACATCAAACTATATTACCTATCATTTTTCCTGTCAGTGACGTTTACACCTTCTATGACCATAGAGTTAAGAATGTGGATAATTAACACAAGCTTCCTCAGAAAGAGCGTGGGTCAAAACTCACAAATCATCTCCCAAACTGCCACAATATATAAATTATGCTTACAATTCTGTGCAAAAACTAGATGTTATCGCCACTGAGCAACAGAGTCATGCCAAAGTTTCAATAGCTTGCTGAGAACACTCTGATACTAAATGTTAAGCATAAACAGAGCCCACTAATATTCTTAATCTCAATATGGTAGGTCCAAGAATCCAATGTTTATGTTGTTAAAAACAATAGTTTTCCTACGTTCCAGTTTTTTATGTAAGACTGACCAGGCAAAGAAAAAAGATTTCACAGATGACAGGTGTGACCCATTGACAACCAAGCCAACGTGGTTCTCTGGGAAGGAGGGGTGCGCCAAATATCTGTACTGAATTGTTAAAACGTAGTGAAGTTTGAGTGGTTTGGTAACCAAGTTCTGCATCTTGGTATAAATCCTGTTCCAATCTGGAAGTTTATTTTACCAATAGTAAATCTAGGTATGGGACAAGTCCATAGGGTAAACAAAAAGGATATGTTTGATGTCTAAATTTTCTTTTTCTCATCAAGTATGTCATCATACCTCTTACATACATTGTGATTCACTGAGACACACATTTCCTCACTATCCTAATATAGCCTTTTAAGTCATATATATATCGAGCACATATACAGGGGTGGGAAAAAGCAGGTTTACAGTTGTTTGTATGGAAAAAGACATGCAGGTTATGATTATCACAGTAGCTTTATTAACTCAAAATAATGTCACAATGCAACTGTAAACCTACTTTTGCCCACCCCTGCATGCGCATGTGCACGTATTCCCGCCCCCGCCCCCTTTACTCTTAACCCCAATTCGTATCCACATTCACTCTTTATTTCTCTTACCATGGGTAGGTCTTTTAGGATCTGTATTCCATCACCTGGACCCATGTGTGCTATGTGGTTAAAATTAGTTGGGTTAGAAATCAATTTATTTCTCATTTCAGGATCTCGTAGCATCTCTCTGTAAGAGAAAACACCTGTTTAGACACTTTTTCTATGATCAATCTAGATAACTCTAGAAACAAATGAAGGATACTTTATTTTTTCATAAAAATAAATGTGAAATCATGTTCATATGGATAGAATTAAAATAATAGAATATATTCAATTAAAATTTTACTTAGATTTGTTTTACATTTTAAATAAAAGATTTTACAATTTTTGGTGGGAAGAGAGGGCTCTTTTAGTATAGAGACATCAAAGAAGCAGCTCTATTTCACAGGTAATTCTGATCATTATGTATGTCTTAAAATAGCTGATAACACTTAGAAATGTTTTTATATGTAATTGGAAATACTACAAGCCTACTTCTGTTTGCTCATAAAGAGAATAGTTAATCTGAAGTTCTTAAATACATGTAGGTTTACTATTATGCACAGATAGGTGCTATGTTTATATTATAACAAGGTTCATATTCTAAAAATTCTAAGTACTCCATGTACACAGAGAAAGGAATCAAAATATGGTACTTTAATCTAGTTCGTACACCTTGGAGACCGTTACTTACAATTACACTGAGAAGTACATTCATTATTGCAGTTTTTAACGCTACAGATGAATGACATTTTCAGAGACCAACCTTCCCTCTCAAATCAAATACAGTGTTATCAAAAAACAGCCCTTCCCATGCTACAAGCATGTGTGGATGATTCGAGAGAAGAATCATCTACCTCCTCTGTTGCATCCTTTCCTCTTCTGGGACTCGGAAGGAGTAACGCCGCTTGTTGTTAATATTTCTAACCATTTGTTTCCGACTATTATCTGTGGTTTCAGGAACTACCAGTTCATCCCCTTCTGTTTAAAAAATACAGAGAACAAGGGTGTTATTTAAAGTACTAGAATGCTTTTTATCCATTCACCTCTAAGACAGTATAAACGTTAACCAACTGTGCAAAGTACATGCAATTCTGATTTTTAAAAGTTGTGTTGATCATCATAGTAAATAAGCAATAGTTTTCAAAAGAACATATATAAACAAATATATGCTGAAATTAAACAACTTTCAAAGAATATTTTCACTTTTATTTGATTATAAACATAAAATAAAAAAAGAAAAATGTAGGCGTCTGGTCACTCTGGCCACCCTACCCCCCAGTGACTCTACACTATCTTCTCTCTCCTTCTCGGTGTTGGTTTCAATGGCTCAGGGTGTTAAAAAGCTATTGCTAACCTGCACAGGAATAAATGGTAAATTATTCATGTAAATGAGAACAATTACAAATATTTTTACATATTAAAACATTCCCTTTGCAAGATCCCATCTGCGGGGTGTAGGGAAGGAAAAGGAATCGTGTTTTTACTAGCAACCTTTACTGAAGGCAAGAATGTGTCACCGTTTCTACTCTTCTGATTTTGGGGCATGCCAGTGCCCATCTCATTCTATTTCAACTTTAATACGCAGAAGTAAACAAAGCTGTCAGCCATGGGCTCCCCAAAACAGGCTAGGATATTTGAACATACTGTAAAGTAGACAACTGTATCTACACAACACAGCAGATGCCATTCTCTAAGTAAGGTAAGGAAAAAGAGAAATGCCCTGACCCGATGCATTGAACGGTAGATGTATCTGACAGCCCCGAATGGGAACTCTGGATGAATTTTCATAATTTTTGTGCTACAAATCTTAGTTAAGTTCTACAGTAGTAAAAGCACAGAAAATATATTCAGCCATACTGTATCTACTCACCTTGGTATTCTACAGAAAACCAACAAGGTTAAGTCAGAAACAGATGTTTTGCTTATACAGCTATGCAAGCTTAAACAGAATGGCCTTTTGTCCAGTAGTGTATCTCAAATCTATTGAGAGTATGACAGTGACTAAGATCACAGGCTTTGGAGTAAGATATAACTGAGTTTAAATCTGGGCTCTCCACTTATTATCTTTGGGCAGTCAGCTTAGAGAGAATATTTCCATTGAAGCTATCCTATTAATGTGCATTTTCTTACCTGCCATCTTATTTTTGAAATATATTAATCTAATTGTCTCCAAGCCTAAAAGATTTAATGATCCTTCACTGTTTAAGGGTCGAACCTAAAATAATAAAAAATAAAATTAGTATTTCAACAAAACCTTCAAAAATTAAATCATAAAATGTTTGACCTATTTATAAACCACACACATATTAAGACCTTTACTTTATACTTCCTCTCCAAAATATAGCTCTCTCAGAAAACCAACAAAAAAATAAACATTAATTCTGACTGGAAAGGTATAAAATTATCTAACTTAAAGTTATAATGATATTTTAAAGGAAGACTATTCTGGACCCCTTCCCCCCCCAAAAAAGGGTAGAAATACATTTAAGCCTTAAATTTAACTTTTTAAAGTCATTAGTGACCAAATGATTATACTAAGATATCAACAAAGACACTTTATGACTCTTGTTTGAACTAAATGGACAAACAACGTAGCTAATTGGGGACATGCAAATTAATACTTCAATGAGATACCACTTTATAACCATTTATAATGGCTATAAAACTATGAATTCCAACAATGGCAAGTGTTAGAGAGGATGTGTCAGCAAAAACTCTTATATACTGCTGGTGGGAGTGTCAACTGGTACAATTACTTTGGAAAATAATTTGACACCAGCCTATAAGGCTGAACACTTGCATTCCCCATGTACCATCAATTCTGTTCCCAGGTACATGACTTAAAGAAACTCCTGCACACATGCACCCACCAGAAGACCAAGGCAGCAATGTTCATAAACAGCAAAAAGCTGAGAAATAAGTCAAATGTGCTAATCAGAGAACAGACAAGTTATGATCTATTCACTCAAAAGAATATTTTATCTAGTGAAAGCAAAGAACAATATGTAACAACATGGTGGTTGGTTCATAACAACATGGATGAATCTTAGAAACACAGTAAATGCATGAAGAAAGCACGGCAGAAGGTGACATACAACATAACATTTATAACCTCAAATGCAAGCAAAACTGAAAAATATATTGTTTAGAAATATGAAAACATACAAAAAATTCTGGATTTTATGAAAAGCAAGAAATGATAAATGGCATTCAGGATAGTGATTTCCCTGGAGAGAGACAGGAGTTTGGGATAAAAGTAAGGAGGTGGGCTCACAAGTGATCAGTTTATTATTAAGCTTCTTAAAGGTCATATATTCTTTCACATATATTGTAAATTTAAATAATAAAAATAAAATGGATAACTAATTGTAACCAACCCAAATGTACAAACTAGTGGGCTGTATTTAGTAGCTATAGTGCAGCGGTATTTACAAAAGCTTTATTCACTGATGATGTGGTTTAAAATTGAGGAAGATCTTGAAATATGGCTTTGGCCACTGTCTTTTACCTGGTCTTCTAAACCCTGCCCGATAACTAATGATACATGCTACATATATCGATATCGATATGAAACTACCACTCTTCCCTTTTGCAAAATAACATAAAGAGAAATTTTTACAAGTAAGTAGCATAGAGCAGTTATCACAGGGACATGTTAAAGGAAAATATTATGTTTTACTATGAACATGTTAAATCTTTATTTTTTAATTATGAGATGCTTAACCACAGTTTTGGTTCTAATTTTAATTACTTTTCAAGCCTGTAAATCTGTCCTCACAGGATTTCAAAATGCATACCGATGTGTGAAAAACAGTTATAATTAAGAATGTGCACCCTCAGAGTACCTCAAACTATAGTGGAAGGTAATGCTGACATTTTAGGTTGTAGGATATATTCTAGCTGTTCATTATAATAATCACAGTTTATACAGCAAAGCTAAATGTAATAAAAATAGTATGGAGTTGAGCTACTTATAAAATTAACCAGCTTGATTTTTATTTTTTTACTCTTAGCTAAATCCCAAATTACCAATTACATATGCCAGAAATTGCTGAATTAGTGAAAAATAATTAAATAGTCATGTTAGTGTTTCACTTACACTCATTAGTTCTCTTAAGTCGATATTTTAATGTTAAATTACCTTTTTGAGTGGGAGAGTCTGAATCCATTCCATGGAGTTCACATCAAAGATGTCAACCGCATTTTCACTATACACGGAGAGATAGGGTGCATTGTAACCTGGGAGAAGAAAGAGGTAACAGCTGGCTGGTTACTTTCAACTATTAAACCCAAAACATTTTGAAAGATCTATGCTAAGCAATTATATAGAGGAATCTCACCCAAATCCTACTGTTATCATATAACAATATCAAAACCTTTTTGAAGTAAACAGAATGTAAATCATAAATGAAGAGATTTTATAGTCATAACAATACAAAAGGAGTCTGTTAACACCAAGGGTATAACATTCCCTTGCCCAATACTAGTTCTATAAAGGAATTTGATTCCTGAAGTAGTTAAACTATTGATAGTGAAACAAACCTATAAAGTAAAGAAATCTTTAGGTAAGAGTCCTTTCTAGTCACAGTTATGAATGTTTGATAAAGCATCCGGGAGAGTCACATGAACAGGGTAGATGCTCAATATATGCTTAATGAAGGAATGAATAAATGGCGACACAAGCAAAGAGAGATTAAATGATTTATCTACACTAAGGTCACAAATTAAATTTTTGGCAGAGCTATTCATAAAAGCCAGGTATTCCAATTCTTACTCTAAACTCTGAATTATTATCTGACTAGGTTATAAAACACCATCCATTCTAAACATGATGCCATAAATAAAAGTATATATTTCAGAAGAAATGAAACTAAGTATAGTTAAGTATGGGTTTGTAAGATTAGAAGTATTTTTCTCTTCTTTTTATCTAGATTTTCTAATTTTTCTGTACTAAGCATATATAGCTCTCCAAAACTTTCTACTGAACCCTTAAACCCTACTGTACTCATTCCATCATCCTGTCCTGCTATGGCAGAAGAGGCTTTACCCCTCCAGCCACGTCCTTCCCCCGTTCTCAATTCCAGCCCCTCTGGCCTCCTTGGGGATCTTGCTCCAGTTCCTGCAGAGCAAGAAAAGTTACTAGAGATCAGCTTTTCCTAGTTCCCTAGTGGCTACTTCCCTTCAGAATTTAAACATATTCATATACCTTCTACTAAAAAACATTTTGGGTTGGATACTCCTCCTACTTGTTATATCTTACACAGTGAAAATAGTGAGTATTCCAAAACTTATTAAGGTCTTAGTATTTCTTAAAAGAGTGAAATAAGCAATTTTAAACATCTAGATAAAAATATAAAACTGAATCTTACAAATGCTACACTATACCTTTACATAACTAACAATTCACTTAGTAACTACTCCAGAAGAAATCTTATCAGCTATTAATAATCACACTGTATTTTTGACCAGGAAGATAGCTACTTAGGGTTATTTCAAAATACAATAATATGGGTTAAAAAAATCTATGTAAGTAAAATATTCCATAGAAAGATTAGCTTTAATTACTTGTATGTTAATGTTGACATTGTTGGCCTAGACTAACTACACATGGTTATTTTACATAAATAACATAATTAATACTTAGGAAAACCTTAAGAATGACTTAAAAATAACCTGTTATTAACAGTAAATATATCTAGGAGATGAAGGAAAAAGAAAGAGGCAGAAAGATAAGACAGCCAAAAGAAAGAGACTCTTACAACAAGAGGAAGGGTTTGCTGGCCACATCAATTCCTGTTGTCTAGATCTTCGGCCCTGGCAGTCGGTATATATCCCAATGCTGTTAAAACACAGCAGGTATTCTTTGCTGGAGATCTCAACTGCGCAGATGGCATCCATTGGTTGATGGGCAATAAATGACAGTGTGTGGTCGTTTGAATGGAGCATACTGTACGAAGTTCCTTCTCCATTCAAGGGGTATCTTTGAAAACCCGACTGGAACCCCACACAGAGGTGTTCGCTGAAGATTGCCATCCACTGGACATTATATGGGACTTGAATTTCCTTAAATTTTCTGTGACGGGTCTTGCTCTGAAAAAGTTCGTAACAGAGGACCTGCCTTTTCATAGCTACACACAGGCAGGTAAGGGCTCCATGACGCACTTTCCCAGAAGTTATGGTTTGACACCCTTTAGTTTCTGCCAGCTTGTAAAAATCAGTTTCTCGTCCGTCCAAAGCTGACATAGGAAAAAGTCGCACATGACGATTTCGTCCTGAGATCACAGCAACAAGCTGATCATTTGGAATGAGCTCAATCTGATGAATCTTCTTATTGTCACCAACTCTAATAATTTCTATGCAAAGAAATAATAATAAATCAGATGCAAAATAATATTTTATTAATCACATCCAATTATACTTAAAAAAATATAAGCCAACTTATAATTAAGACAGATCCATACTCAGAGAAGAATAAGAGCTCAGAAATCACGTAGGGAGAGGGAGACAATTACACCCGTTAGAAGATAATTTAGCTCACCTACAGTAAAGTATTAAATTTAGCACTGAGATTTCTGGCAGCCAAGGCAAAGAGCTGCTATGTGATAAGTCATGCCAGGTCTTCAAAAAAACAAAAACAAAAACAAAACAAAAATACAAACCCTGCCTTTTTACTGGTATTAAGTTCTAGGGAACTTTTTATTATGGGTTCATATTTTTTAAAAACTGTGTAACTCATATTTCACTAAAAGTATCTGTATGGGTAACAAACTTAGGAAGTTTAAATGCATTGTTTTCCCATGATCCTACTTGATATAAATATAAAACTTAGAGCTAAATTAAATTGGTTTCTTTTTATTTCACCTAGTATTTATGTTTAGAAAAAGATCTTTTGTAATAAACTATGGGGGAAAAACCCCAACAACAAATATATCTTAATGACTTACCTCTTCTAATACTATTAGAACAATGGAAAAATCAAGATGTATTTTCTTTCATGTACTTTCTTTAGAAATGCAACCCGAGTTTCTTCAGCAGAACCATTAAATCAAGTTACACAAGACAGACAATACATACATGGAAGTTTTAGAACTCATGATGATTACAGAAGTTAAAAAGTTATCTTTTGATTTATAAAACACATCAAATTAGATGTGGGAAATTTCAATTATAGAATAAACAAAAGTAAATCCTGCCATTTTTAGAATTTAGAAACTAGAGTTTAGAATTTTCTAACATACGGTTTAAAGTTACCCCACAATAATTAAGTTTTCACTTACCATCTTTGGTGACATGCACAACAAATAAGCCTTCTTCATTTCCCAAAGCTATCCTTTCATGATCTATGTAAGATATAAATAAATATGAAACATTTTTATTAGGTAAAAACTATGTAAAACTAATAGCTAATAAAGATATTTGGTACAAAAATCTGAAATAAACAATTTTAAAATAGCAATAACAATTTTTACTATTAAATTTCCTTTCATGTCTTTTTTAATAGATCACTAGAAAATAACCTATATCAACATTTACAAAAATAAGTAAATGTTTATTCAATAAAAGATGAAAAAAATTAAAAACCTAGTTTGTTAGTGGCCTGAGTATAGTTCTATTTCTTGTTTTGGGGGGGAAAATGTGAAAGGCATTTGAACCCTACTTGTTAAACTTTTTATTATTTAGTAGGAAGTAATAAAAGAGTTAGATGTGTACACAGGAATACGGTGAAAAATTAAACCCCCAGACACAAAAGCTGCCTTTTTTTAGGGCAACTTAGGTACAAGGGCACTCTGACATATTGCATCTCATTTAAACTTCCCAATAACCTTTGCAAGGTAATCAGCATCTACACTACACCGAACGTTATGCTTTAAGACACTAAACTACTTGTTCTCAGCCACACAAGCAGAGAACACATATGTCAAAAGTTAAACATTAGCACTGTTGTTTTTTAAGAAAACACATTTGAAAAGTGTACTTATTCTTGTTTCCTGAGTAACAAAGCTTAATATAGTCTTATTCATTCAATAAATACTGAGTACCTGCCTGTGATGTCACACTTACCAGGCTGGACGCTGGTGATTCCTGGATGAAAGCCAGGTAGATTAGTAAACAATTATGACAACATGATCAATGTTATAAATTCATACCTATGATTGCAGCGGCCTGGGTAGTTTTAATGAGGGGTAATGTGCTGTCATAAGCCTCTTTGGGAACATAGACTGAGCGGTCTCTGAATTTGTTTTTCTTCAAAATCTTCTGCAATTCACTCAGCACTCCCACCCACTTGCTCTTCTCATTCTCACTATCTGCCAGCATCAGGATTGAACATTTGTTATTCGGGGCTGAGAGCTGGGAAGTTGTGACCTAGAAAAATTGAATCAAAATTCATGATATGACAAAACACACCCTTTAAGTCAGTTTTATGCTTAGATGAGTTTGCTTAGCACTAGCCAACAAAATGAGCATTCATTAAGTGTTACCTGTAGCAGAGGTCAGCTATTCCTAATCAGAATACCTAGTTTCAGCGTTAGAATTCATGGCAAAGCAAAGGTAGCAGATACCATTCTAAATGTTAGTATCATTTTCTTTGCTATAACATACCAGAATACTATCACTAAAAAAATGCATTAAGCACATTCATATAACAGCAACTGATATTTTTGAGTAATTACTGAGCCCTGAGCACTGATCAAAGCACTTTACAAGTATTAAACTCACATAACCTCTCAACATCTTCTTAAGACAGGTATTATTACATCATGATTTCATACATGAAAAAACTGTGGTGCAGAGACATTTAATTTCCCCAAAAAACAAGAGTGGGATCTCATGTCCATGCTCGTAAGCACAATACCGTACTGATTTTCAACTTGCTTTAAGAAGTCAGAAATGCTCAGATATACTTATATTCTCTGTTATTTCATAACAATAACTCACATTATCTTAGAGAAGATCAGATCACTATAGTTACTATTTAAATGAAGCTTATCATTATGCAAACAGAATTTATAACTGAGCAGATTTAAATTATATATATATGGATCCTTTATTAAAAGTAATACAAGCAGAATGACAATAAAATCCCACGAAGTTTAACAGTTACAGATAAGTGGGCCTCTATAGGCTCTGTAGGAGGCTGGAGAAAGCATAGTTGTTGGTCTAGGAACTGAGACAAAGTACAGTCTTTGTCCAACCTTCCTCAGGATACAAGACTCATAAACAAATACTACAAATACTAAACATACAAGCATAAGGTTGGGGCAGTAGTTCTTTCTTTTTACCTCTATTATCTTAATTCACCAATTCAAGACTGCACTGTGGGCAGCCTCCAAAGAAGGCTACCAACAATTCTTCCCATGGAATTTCATTCTTCTTATCAAAAAGTGGAATCTATTCCCCTCCCATTAAATCCAGGCTGACCTCATGACTTGTTTTGACTAATAGACTACAAAAGGGTTATTATGCCTTTTTGGGGTCTAGTCTTTAGAAGGCCTGGCAGCTTCTTTTGCTCTTTTGGAAGCCATCCATGGAGAGCTCAGCCAGTCTACTGAACGATTAGAGACCACATGGATCAAGTTCACAGGGAGAACTGAGGCCACCCAGCCAACAACTAGCACCAAGACCCCAGATGTGAAGAGTAGGTTGTTTTGGATATTCCAGTCCCAAATGAGCTGAATGCAGGCCACATGAGGTACCCCAGTCAACACCAAAAGAACTATATGGCTGACCCACAGAATGCTGAAAAATAAATCACAGTTAGTTTAAGCCACTAACTTTTGGAATGGTTACTGCAAAGCACTAAAACTGAAAAATATGTTAATTTCTTAAATGAAATTAAAAACTTCCATTTTTAAAAAACTTGAGAAACCTCACAATCAATTTTCCATGTGACAGTATTTATTTGAAAATTCAATTGTGACTCAAAAATATTACCCAAGAGGAAACCTAATTAAAAATTAACTATTTACTTAGCACTAACTGTCTATTCATTCAAGTTTTGAAGAGGCAAAACAAATACTCATTAAAAACAAATAATTCAGTGATCAAATTACAGCACACATACTTACTCTAAATATACAAGGTATATCTTTTCGACTTGCATGAATAACATCAGAAGCCAAGACTGAACTCACAGAAAATTCTTCATCCCTGAAGGAAAAGTGAAACATTAAAAGTGAGTTTACGTGGGTAAGTGTGTGGTCTTGGGTGTGTATCCAAGTAATACATATGAAGCAATCCTTAAAAATGAATTGCACAAAACATCCAAATTGAATTCTTTAAAAAACTGGATTCTCCCCCCTCCCCCCCCCACATTGTAACTGATAGTGCCCATAGTAATTTATCAATAGCTTTACAGTGGCACATTATACAAGACTAGAAGTAATTCCTGGCTCACCCAAAGTCCCAAGGCCAGTAGATACAAGTGTACTGGAATTTGAATGCTGGTAGGTCTCCAGAGTCTCCAGCAGACTGGACCCTCTTGCCTCCCATAATACACCTGAAGTACCCTGAACACAGCTCATCTGTCAGTTTACTGCTCCTTCAACACCTAAGAGAGATTTGCTCCACATAACTTAGTCCTTAATTTAGTTATTGGTATCATCCTCTTGGTCTTGGAGACTTAACACCTTAGTCTTACCTTGGATCTTTCTCCCTATTTTTCTGTATTTAGGCCCTTAGCAGACACTGTCAGATTTTCCTTGCTAATATGGCTTGTATTTATCCCTCCATATTCCATATTTACGGGAAAGATGATGTTAGAGATGCTGGTATGAAATGCTGGAACTCTGAGTTTTGAGTGACAGAGGAAGACTGTGTTTGGGAGTCATTCATCAATGCAGAGGAGATGGCTGAAGCTATGGGAGTTAATAAGGTGACTCCAGGAGAAATGGCTGGAGTTATGAGAAGAGGTAAAGGAGAGCACTGCAAGGGGCAAGGGAAGATCTGAAAAATGAAACTAGAAATATTCGAGATGTATTTACTTAAATGCTTACCAATGCATTATATATTCCAAGAACTTGTCTGACTTTGAGATTTTTTATTTCCTTTCCTCACATGGAAGTTATACTCTGTGCCTTTAGGTGATATAAATACTACATATTAGGCCTCCAATACTCCAGCAACCTTTAAACTGGTCCTTTGTATTCAGACATTAGCTTCTTTTCTCCAACCCTAGTCCCACACACACACCAGCAGGTCCTATAACTACACCTTACTTCCTATTTTTAATTACGTTACTATAGCAATATTAGTAAATTAGAAAATTAACATGGAATGAGATTTAAATAAAAACATGGCAATATAATTAGAAGACAAATCACTTTTTATTCCCATGTTGCAAAGATACAAATACGTTCACCTTGGAAAGCTTACCTCATGTCAATCACCTGACTGACTACAACACTGGGCTGGGATGCTTTTCCTTCAGCAACATCGTACAGAAAAAGTTTGAAGTCACAAACTACAGCCAATGCTCTTTGCCATCCTTTCTTCACTCCAGCTGGTTTAGGGATCTTTGGCAGGCAAAGAAACAAACAAAAACAACTCAAACTAAAATGTCAACCAGAGCCCATTTAATTACATATGTACCTACATGGTGAAAACCTGAAGGTAATGTACATATGCTAGAAGTCGGCCACTTTGGTGGGTAAAGTAGCAGATGGAACACATATATCATTAATAAAATGTAAGAATAAATTTTTTAATCACTGAATGACTATTCTGAAAAAATTTTAAATGATACCATTTAACTTTCACTAGTAATTCATTAAAATAACATTCATGGATTTCTTTCTAAGTAGCATAAAAGTCAAATTTGGTAGTAAGACGACATGCAGCTTACACTTTAAATATCATTCAAGATTACAAGTAAGATTATGTCTTGATAATATCTCATATTTCAGAAGCATATGCCACCTCTCCAGCAAGACCAAATGCTGAAGACTCTTCAAGGAGATTTCAACATTTGTTCATTATAAGATAGAGAGCATAGAAATTTTTGAAACATTTTAGAACTGATTTCCAAGCAAAGACTACATTTTTGTTTTCAAATCATTGCTTTGGGTGAAATAAATTAGGTAAATGTTATTCATCTAATTTTCTGTTAAGGACTGTGTTTGTAAGGTGACTGGACTATATGTTAATTCATTAATGAACCTTAAAAGATTAATCTAAACCCAAAAATTACTTACCCTGACATGACCTTCATATGCTGTTCCTATTCCTTTTTGAGGATCTATACCCAGGGGACCTTTTGTCTGTTCAGGAGGAACTGGGCACGCAGTGGGAGCTTTGTTTACGCAAGTTATATGACATGAGAAGCCACACACTTTTGGAGGGACAAAAAAGAAAAAATGTTCAATAAAAATTCATTTTACAAAAAGAAAATCCACTGAGAATTCATTATATGCAAGGTACATGAATGCTTTTCTCAGATTTTATTTTTAAAAACTGTTTTGTTATTTGGGGAACTGATTCTTTGCTTAACAAAAAGAATTTCAATAATGTCAGTCATTATCCATCACTTCATTCACTCAAAACCGTCAAATTTCCACTTTCCAACCTGACCATTTTCTTTGGCTCTAAACCCATGTAAATAACAAACTAGTTAAGATAATGCAAATAGAGATTTGCAACTTAGGTTGGGAGAACTAATCAAACACAGAACGCATTGCCGTGGATGCTATTAATTTCCCCCTTATTCAAAGTATTCAGCTTCAGGCTAACTACAAGCATACTCTACAAGCATCTGCGAGAGCCTGACTTCCTTCCCTTCAAGGTCCCTTCCAACCCCAACAGCAAGAAATAGAAACTAGTATCAGAATTTGAATCAGCAACTATTTCCTTATCTTTTTCACAAGATATAGTGGTAAATTATATATGAGGCACTGTTGTAGTTGCAAGTCTCATGTGATTTTAAAAAATCATATTTCTAAAATACACACAAATACTATGTCCAATTATAATTTAAATAATTTTCATTTCCAAAGTCAAAGGAAAAATAAAGTGATGCCAAAACAAACTGTTTTCTTTTCAAATGATCTCTGTTCTCTCATCTCTCAAAATGTGCGTTCCATGAGGGCAGGGTCTTTGCCCTCCATCCCCCTTCTACCACTGTATCCCCAGTGCCCAGAAGCACAGAATGGCTATTCCATAAACATGTGATGGATGAATCAATGAATGGTAGGGGGAACTTCTGCTATTAATACTAGGACCAAAATATCTTTTGAGACTTAGTGACAGACATTTAATATTTCTGAAAAGACAGTGCATTATCTACTTTCCAAATGACAATTTCTCTGGCAAATTAAACAAGATTAAAATTAAATAAATAGATTCAAGGATAACTTTCATGTCTTTTGCTACATACATTAATGGCTTTGCAAAACCACAAAATCATCTGAGTAATAAAGATGAATAAAACATTTAAATTTATCTCCCCTGAAAAAGGTTTCTGGGGACTGTCTAGTTTCTCTAATATTCAACAGACTTTAGCAAGGTGCTCATTTTATTGTCTCATTCCTGTTATCCAACGAAAAACAAATGATTAAAACAAACACATACCTTATAAAAAGAATAAAGTTATTTGATTATGATTTAGGTAGTAAATGTTAGGACTCTAAAGTCACATTTTCTTACCATTTTATTCTTACCTTCACAGGAACAGCCCTGTCTTATCAAACCCACCATCAAAGAGGTACACTGATGACATTTGGTAGGAGTAGTAAAAGATTTGACAAAAAACTGATGAGTCTTGCGCTGCAAAACAAATGGATAAAAACATACACATTGGTTAAAGGATTTTCATATTGTGAATCTCTGCCCCACACCAGCTACCAGAATGTTTCTCATAGGAGTAGAATGAATTCTTTTCTTTTCTCACCACATAGTTCTATAATCTATGCTTTTTAAATATTTTTATTAGGACTGTTGGTAAGTTTCAAAGTGGCACTGGGATTCGACTCCATTCTAAACAGAACAGGTTATCTTCATGCTAACTCTAATTGCTTTTATGCTGACCAAGTACCAACCAAGGTGTAGACACTGTGCCAATACTTAACATACATCATTTCATGTGATGGACACAATGCTTAGAAATACAGGTATTATTTCCTTATATAGATGAAGCAACTCAAACTCAGAGAGAGTAAATAAGTTTCTGTCTGACTCTGTCATCTCTTAAAGTTTCATAATATAAAACCAGGTAGAATATGATCCTAAAAGAACCAAGGACTACAGAAAGTTAGGTCAAGACTAGGGGCTTTCATGCCTGTGGATAAAATACAAGTACCTAATTTGTTAATATCATATAAAATTTTGCTCAACATTTCTCCTGCATACTAATTTTTACTCGTAATTTTCTGCTCTGTAAGGAGCCACCAAGAGTAAATTTTCTACTGCTAACATTTTCAATCATTTCAGTTTTCCAATTTCTAGAATTTCTTTGTAGGAGTTTGAGACAAGCAATTAAATCTTCATGTTCTACCACATACAATACTTCAGTCATAGTCAACGTTAAATAGAATGAAAAGATGAAAATTCGCCTGAATTTTTCACTAAGTATTTCTTTTTTGGTGGTTTATTAACCTCAATGTTAGAGTCTTCCACAAGTGGCCTCAACTTAATACCCTCCTTACAATGCATTCCCCAATACATCCTACTCCTCACTCTAACAGACTTCAAAATATTGAATTTAAGAACATGGAGGAAAAACAAAACAAAAAAACTTGGGACAACTCCTCCTACCTTTCTCAGTGGTGATTATTTCCACTCACACTGAATTTATTTTCTTTCTAAGCTTTCATGTTTGTAATTTTAAGGAAACCAAAAGCAAAAATCACAGAAGTATATAAAGCAGAAGAAATCCATTCTCGTTTCTGTTTCAGAACATACCAGGCTACAACTAGATTGAGTACCTTAGGAGGAAAGCCAGCTGAACCAGGGCATGCCTTTTTCCTTAAGGTTGGTGTGTGAACTGGAAGTGGAGTACTGTCTACAGTCTGAATCCATGGGCAAAAAAAGAAATAAATGTTATGAAAAACTCCATCCATTTCTAACATCCTTAGAAATAAATCAAGGTAAATAAAGTCAAAGAAAACATCAATAAGGCAAAATATATCTTAATGAAGCTAAAATTCTCATAGTGTTGATACTTTAAATTTCTGTCTGCAAGTCTATAAGTGAAGTATTTGTTCAATTAGTAAAATTATTTCAGTCTGGAAATATAAAAATAAAAAATTGGAAAAGAGAATCCACAGAATACAAAAAATGTCATAGCATGTAACCTACATAAAAATGGATATTAATTTTCAAGTTCATGTGAAAATGCCACATTAATTCTAAAAGCATCTAATAGTTTTCAGCAAGATTTATAATAAAAATATTTAGAAGATTTTTTAACTCCTTTACTTCTATATACAGAATGCATTTTACATATATGTAACACAATTCTGTGGATTTTTGTGTATGTATATATACTGATTGATTAGTGGAACTTTTGTGCAGAAATTAACTTCCAAAGAAGTTAGATTTTATTATTATTGGGATTCTGAATTTACACACAAATTTAGTTATAAGCCATATCTTTATTTTATAGGGAATTATTGTAAGGTATTTCTTTGAATAGAAGGAACCAGTGATTTTACTGGATATTACTATGGAAAAAAGAGATATCACTTGATTAGCAAAGTGTAAAAAAAGATGTGAAGAATGGCTTCCTATTAGGATGCTAAGCAGCAAATGAGAGGAAAAGCTAGCTTTGTATAAAGGTATAGAACATTCTAAAATATTAAAAGGAAAATGGGTGAGCTCTCTTTACTTTTGTTAATGTATAACCTCCCAAATCAGAATATTTGATATATAATATAGCCTTAAAACACAATACAGTTGAGTTTCTCAGAGTTTTCTACTTAATTGTAAATTTCATTCTAATTTAATTTAAATATCTTGAGAAAGTGTTGAATCCAATTTATAATTTAACATTTAAAAAGATAAATATGAAAAAGAACACCGAAAACCTTTATAGAAGTTAATTAAAAACAACTCACACTAAACAAAATTGTCATTAGAATTTACATAAAAAGTCCAAGAGGAGTTTTAGAATTAAAAGGAGTGAAGCAAGAGTGCTGGATACAAGATGAACAGAGTTCATAAAGACCAGCAATACCTAATCAAGAAAATATCTGTTACCAAAGACCCAATTCACCATAGCAACAAAGGCTCACTGATGGTACCTAAGAACAAACCTACCAAGCAATATGGTGTACACTCATGAAGAAAATAATATAACTTACTGAAGAAAAGAATATCTAAATATGTATACCATGTTCATAGATGGAAAGACCCAATATCACAAAGACGTCAATTCTCCTCAGATAAATCTATAAATTCAATTAAAGTTCCCACCTAGCATCTGACAAGCTGATCCTAAACGTCATACATAAAATTACAGGGTCAAAAAGAAAAGGAAGAAGACTAAGGTGGGTGAAAGTGGGTGTGGCTGACCATACTAGGTATCAGGAATTATTTTAGGGCTATAGTAATTAAGACAATCTGATGCTGGTGCAGACCTAGACTAAGAGAACAATGGAAGAGAATAGAGAAACCCCAGACAGGCCCATTTATATAAAGCAGAGATAGCTTTACACATCAATGGGGGAAATATAGGACAGTTGGTTGCTCATATGAGAAAAATAGATTAGAAACTTATTTCCCATAATACATAACAATAAATTTCAGTTTGATTAAAGTCCTAAACATTTAAGATTTTTGTTTTAACTTTTAGAAGAAAATATAGAGGAAAATCTTTATAATCGCTGCAAAGGGAAGAAATGCTTAAAAAAGACACAAAAAGCAGAAGTCATAAAGAAAAAGATTGATAAATGGCTACTTTAAAATAAAAACTGTTGCAAGACAAAAAGATATCACAAATAACATTTAAAAATAAGCCACACACTAGAAGAAAATATCTGCCATGAATATAGCCAGCTAAAGACTAATGTCCAGACTATATAAGGAGCACTTATGAAATAGGAAAAATAGTTCAACAGAACAATGGACAAAAGACATGAACAAGCAAATCACCATAGGCCAATAAACATAAACAGATGCTCAGTAACATGTGAAATCAGAAAATGCAAATTAAAGCAAAAATGCCACTCCATACCCATCAAATTGGCAAAAGTAAATACAAGGGTTGGCAAGGATGTGGGAAAATGGGAAACTCACATACACTGCTTGTGGAAATGAAAACTGGTCCAACATTGTGGAAAATAATTTGGCAAGACCTAGTAAGTTGAAAATGCATATAGTACACAACCCAGTAATTTCACTTCCAGGTATATATGCTAAACAAACTGCACTTTTGCAAAAGCAGATACCTATGATGATGTTCACTTCAGCACTGACTGTAGTAATAAAAAATTGGGAAAAACCTACGTATCAAATAGGTGAATGAATAAGTAGTTGTGGTATATTCATACAATAAAATATTATGCAATAGTTATAATGAATGAACTAAATGGACATGTATCTGTCTGAATAAACCTCAAAAGCATGCTGAATGAAAAAAGTTACATGTAAAACCAAGGAAGAGAGGATGCAATTCAATTTCAGGGTATTTAGATATGTCTGGGAAAAGAGACGGGGGAATGGTATAGGGAAGGGTGTTTTAATTCAGTAGTCTGGACTATTTTCTTTTTTTGAATACAAGTTTGAAAAAAATAAGACAAAATGTTCATTTCTGTTAAATCAGAGGATGGTGGTTACATGGGTGTTTATTATTCTCTATGTGATGGAAATATTTCAACATTAAAATAAAAATATATAAACTATTAAAACAATAAAAATTAAAAAAAGCAGAGGGTCTCATCAACCAGTCTGAGATAGTCTATCATAGGGCTGGAGAAAAACCAAGTCAGAATCTGAGTACAACTCACGCTTTCCTTTAGGCATCTTTCTTTTGGACTGTTGGACACAGCTCTGGAGATAGAGCAGAAGCAAAGGAGCTGTGTCAGCACCGTGATGCCGAGTCTGAACCAGAACCGCATCTGGAGCAGGATGGCACTAACTGAGGCATAACACATCCTTCTAACTTGTTGAGAAATGATCTTGAGAAAACTGGTCACCTGGCCGTTTAAAACCACTGATTGACATGAGGCGCAAATACAACAGTTTTTGCACTATTAAAAAGCATGATTTAGTTAAATGACTATCACTAATTTAGCAGTTAGAATAAACTGTTCAGCTGCCAGGAGTGGCGATTTGAATTTTAAGCTCTGTTTATGAAGTAGCAGTTTTGTCATGCCTTATTAGAATAAAGCGTGATAATGGCCCCTGACACTGCTATGTGCCTGCAGTGGATGTCTAATAATTCCAAATTTACATAGTTCAGTTCTACATCATTCTCTGCTTAAAATAAAGACCACCTTCCTGATTAAACAAATGTTCTGGCTATTTTAAGTTGAATTTTGGGGGACAACTTTCTACTTTAGTTTCATACTATCTACATTATCAGTCCAATGTAATGATCTCCAATATATTGTGACTTATTACACAATATATTTGATTAACAGAAGAGAGATTTCACTTGTTTTTGCAATTCCCTCTTTTCTAACACAAGTGAAAAGTTGGGGAGCAATACTGCTCCAATGAGGCACCTTAACTGGCTCAGCTTCACTAGATGTGGAAGGAGATGTGGACCTTGACTGGATGTAAAACTTGACGTTCGGATTCCGTACATGTGTGTTCTCAACGGGATCAGTCTAGGAAAATAAGTCAGGAAAAACAAAAACCCAAGAAATCACTTTCAACAATGTGCAGCTCTTAGCATTTCTGTAAGGCACGATCACAACATTTCTTGAGAAAGGAGGACAACAAATTTTAGTTTGAAATATTCGCATTAGGGACGTGTCATTATACAAAGTATAACCACTAGGTTTAATGAAAACCAAGGTTAAGATAACAATAGTTAACAAAATGTTCCAATTTTCACTGTTGATCTCTTACTTTGAGCACTGATCTCTGCTGTATATTCTTGTATTCCACATGAAACTTGCATTTTACAAAATAAATCATGCATGTGAAATAAATACAAGGTAGTTAACAGAGATATGCAAACAGATCAGAGATAATTTTGTCCCTGATAAGCCTGAAATTTGGTCCTTTACCAAGCACTGAGTGAAAGTAAAAGAAACTGACCGATTAGCTGTGGGCTTGTCGCTAAAGTAAATCCCCTTTTTATTTTGCAGCAGTAGAAATACCATCACTTATATTCAGCTGCACACTTTCAACCAAGTAGTTTTAGAAACTGAAAATGCTTTGGGTTAAAGTTTAGCATAAGAGATCTTAAGCACAATGACTAGTGACATAGTCAGTTTGGCAATTTTCAAAGTTACTAGGACTGGGTTTTTAAAATGAAAGGCAAGGATGGTAATTTGAAAAGGTTAGGGAATTTGTTTCAAATATGTTGTACAGCAAGAACAATGCCTTAGATCAGAAGCTACAGATCAATGAAAAGAGCATCAGCTTAAGCATTTTAGATATGTACTTAAAATGACTTTTTCTTTCTTATGATCATGGTTACTATTTTAGGGACTGGCTAGAGGGCTGGCAAAAACTGTAGTAGCCCTTGGCTGGTGCCCATCTATGGCCTCCCAGGGTGTGGGCATGGGCAGGTATTCTGGCAACCAGCAAGGCAAGACTTTGGTGGGGCTGATTAACATGGCCACCAACCAGGCCATAAACTTGCAATTACTGGAGTTGGCAGAAGTGGGAAGAAAGAAGGGTCTCGGTGAGGACATCTAGGGGACATGGAGCAGCAGCTACTTACCAACAGCTAGGAAGTATTTTGGTATTTTAAAAACGAGACCTACCGAACTGCAGCATCCCAGCTGTGTACCAGCTCTACTTGTGCGATGTGGCTAATTTCATCAAACTTGTATGTCTTATGATGTGGGACAGCCAGGCCTGAACCCCACCTCTTGACTCCAAATGCAGTACCCTTCCTGTTGGACCAGAGGCATCTCCACAGGAAAGGTACTCAGAGCAACTCAGTGACCATGGAGGCCAAGTTGTATTATTTCCTTTCCTGATAATGAACTCTGACCAGGGAGAGGAGAGTAAAAGAAAGAACAAAATGGGACTTAAGACAGATTTTACCCAGTTCACAACTGTACACAGGGACGGTCATGGAGAAGCTCATCAGTTTAAATTATTCTTCTGAAATATGACCCTGATTTGGGAATAAGGCAGAAATATCTTTTATTTCTAAAAACCACCTTCCTTCTAGTTTCCATAGATTATATAAATTGTAAACTATGGGGAAGGAGGTTCAATCGAAATGGAATTGATAAGCAAAGCAGTACTGATACATTTTACACTAATAAGAAAAAAATGGATTTAACTGTCTCAAAGTTTTAAAGGAGTATGCAAGCAGGAGATTTGTTATGTGCAAAAAACTGGGTCATCTTAAGAAAATTTAAGTTTCTGATTGGCTACACAAAAGCCTTTAGCCCACAGCTTGACTGAAAGACAAAAATCAGATGTTCCTATGTGAAGCAAAATGCTGTGAACAGAACTGAATAGCTCTGTATCTCTGGGTTCAATTACTTTAAAAATTTCAAAATGATAAAGGGAAGAGCTTACTGCTCCCAATAGTCCTGGCTGAAATTTTAAACCAGGTCTGTTCTCTGAGCCACTTAAGCACATGGTGACAGAAAGTGAGCATACCGTTCTACATACATTCTTGTGCTGAAATTAGAACACACTGCCTTAAGACACTTAGTTGGTATGTGCTCTAATGGAAGGTTTACATCACAAAAATCATCACCTAAAACCAGCCTGCCCCCCTACCCTGCCCCATAGTTGGTTGTTAAAATCAGCAGTTTCATGATCTATGAAAATGTGACATTATGAGAGTGGGTTACTGAGCAAAGGGAAAAAATACATGAACACAGTTTAATCTGTAATTACACAAATTAGTGACTCTTAAAGAATTCTTGAGGCTTTTAATACGTATCTCTTGGCCCCTCCGAAGAATTATTGTCATTTATGAAAGACTCTTTCTCCTAACAAGTTTTTACTTATCAATGAGAATAAAATAAAAATGAGAATAGATTTTAAATTCATTTCTTAGCTGAATGAAGTAAAATAAAAACTAGTTACTCAGAAATGAAAAAACATTTAAATTAAAAAAATAACATTGTAATAAAACAGAACAGCGATTTTAAACCAGTATGCCACAAGAATTTTTATAACATGTGGTACCTGAATCTTTAGTCAAGGGCACTGACTTCTTTTCCCAAAGATTGTCAAATTAAAAAAATGACAATAGTTGACACAATAATAGTCGACCAGTGTGATTAAATCAAAATTATATCTACTTTTTTTTGTCAGATTGGTAAAAAATATAATATCTATTTTTTGGTGTGCCGCAAAATTTAATGGTTATTTATGTGTGCCAGGAGATGCAAATAGCTAAAACAGAATAATGAAAGTTACCACACTAGCTCTATGGAGCTGTATACTCTTAAAGTAAAAATAAATTCCAGATGTTCAACAAAATCAAGTTAGTTAGGTAAATAAAAATATTCAAAATAAGTAAAAACATTGCAATAATATTTTGAGATGGCATTAATTGAGCATATTAAAAAGTCAAACTATGTCATTTACAATGATACTCTGATTTTTAAAAACAAACATGAATACATAAGTGAAGTTAAGAAACTACCACTTTATTTTCCAAAAGTATGTTTCTTATAAGACAAGAAACAAAGTTTGGTAAATATGAATAAACTCATGGCAAAAAAGTTTTGAATATCAAACTTTAAAAGAAATTTCTTTTTAAAAGATTCTACTAGAAGCTAATAGCAAATCAGGTTAATAAATTATAATATTTCCTTTCCTTTCTGGATAACTATCATTATAAATAATATCTCAAAAGAGGTTTCACAGTAAGGATAAGAAAAATACAATACTATTTATGTATTTTCTTTTTCAACCCTGTTAATTATCACCAACAGGACTGTGATTTTCAAGACGCTGTTAATTTTGTCTATAATTAAATGTTTACCAGTGCATTTCTAATGACTGGTTCTACCTACTAAAAAGCACGTAATTTTACTAAACTTTCATAATACTCAATGTCTATATGACAGAATTTACAGATAGCCTAAAGTTAATTTTAATGATTAATTGGCAATGACTGAGATATAATATAGCAGCAAAGCAATTAATAGCACATAAGTTATTTTTACCTTCAAAACAAATATAATCATTAATATAGTTAAACCATGGAAGTTAAAAAAATGCTTTGTTATAAAAAATGTTAATGTAAGCAATTAAATTAATGTAAGCATTAAATGTAAGCAATGACTTGAATTAATACAGGAAAAGCTCATAAATATACATCAACAGCACAGATGTCTTAATTCAATAATTGAGTTTATAATTATACAAAGTATGATTAAAAAGGGGATAATACTAAAAAGCAATAAAATGCTAGTATTAGTTGAAGTGTATTTTTATATTATCCAAAGATAGATCTTGAAAAAAAATCTTAACTGAATAGTATAAGCAACTCACTCAATATTTCTAAATTGTAATCTATTGAGAAAAATAAATGAGAAGTATCTTTACATAAATGATTTTTTTCTATTTTTTTGTTAACTAATTCTTTTTTCTTTTTTTAAATATATCTTTATTGATTTAGAGAGAGGAAGGAAGAGGGAGAGAGAGAGATAGAAACATCAATGATGAAGAGTCATTGATCGGCTGTCTCCTGCACGCCCCTGACTGGGGATCGAGCCCACAACCCGGGCATATGCCCTGACCGAGAATCGAACCACGATCGCCTGGATCCTAGGTCTATGCTCAACCGCTGAGGCATGCCCAGACGGGCTAATTCTTTTTTCTAATTAAACATACTTTAAGTAGTTATTCTGATGAACTGGCATTAAAAACATCTACTATACTCCAATAATTTCTAATTAATGGCTGGTTCTGTTCACTAAAAAGCAAGTAATTTTACTAAACTTTCATAATACTCAGTATTTTTACTTACTGCTTTATGTTTGGGGTGGGGGGAGCAGAAAAACTGAGTATCAGCAGTACTGGCCACAATGCACAACACTGTCGTGTAAAAAGTCCAAATGTTTCCTGAATCTATTAGGATTTCTCTGAAGAATAATCTATAATATATATTTTTAGAGTAGTGCAGTAAAATGGAAAAATTCCCCCCTCCCCCCTGGAACAGATCTGATTTTTAGATGACCCACTAAGCAAGAATTCCTCAAATGATGCAGTATGGTCTTCTTATAAATAATAAGAACTAAAACTACTCACCTTGACTATATACCAATGGGTCTTTTTTACTCTAAAAATAATTTTCGATTTGAACAAATACAAATAGCAAACCATTCTCACAAGAAAACTGGTTTTAAAGTAAGACATCAAGTTTGATATGGATCTGATATAAATTTAAAAATAGCTTAAATCTAACATTTGTTGTATTTTGGCTTATATTAGATATATTGTTTTATATTAAAACTAAAAGAAAAAAAAATCCAGTTGTATCAATTTTCTTTATCCTTTAGCTAGAAGTATTTTGAAAACAAAGTGGCAAGCAATCTTTTTTTTTTTTTTTGTATTCAGAAACACTATAACCTCGAAGTTTCAGTGATATAATTAAGCTTATATAAAAACAGTATTATAGAAATACTAACTATATCATTTGGGCATCAGTAAATATTTTATCATTCCAAAACAAATCATAAATTACTAAAGGTTATAGCTAAGTAAGTACAGTCTTATTAATTACAAATAATGTATAACTTGTTTCTCTCTTTATGAAAGCTTCCCAAGTTATTTTCAATACATTGGTTTGAATATCTATCTACTCTAGAGAATTTACAAATGTTCTAAGAAAACATAAAAGAAGTTAAGCCACATGTTGGCGATTTATAATCTCTGCTTCAAACTCTAAAGGAATAATCTAAAATGAAGCACTCAGTAGTTCTATTAATGAAAACAATACGGACTGTTCCATAACCACTTGGACTCATACATTAATAATATTAATAACAAATCTTTCTGATACTATGCTTAAATAACACCACTTACAAAGAACATAAGGCCACTGTTATGTAATACACTGATGTTCTTCAGGACTACAAGGTTCCTCACTATTCTATTAAGATGTTTCTACTATTATCTACTGAGAAACTGATAATTCTTCAAACATCTTCCTCACGGATATTTCCACTTTTCAGTAGCTGACTTTTTATCTGTCAGATACTGAAGCAAGGAAAAATTGGAGAAAGCCTGGAAAGAAAATTAGCAAGCCTATCACATCTGCATTTAAAAAAATCCCATGTAATTTTACGTCAATAGGTTCTGGTTAAGTGTGACTTATTATCATCCTACAGAATAAAGATAAACGCTAAGTAGCAGGGACCTTAAACAGCTATTTCCCTCAAAATATTTTCCTTATTTCAACATTCACAGACATTTTTTGGGTGGTCAAGGCCCCTAAAAGCCTGAAAGGCAAGTAGACATAACTGATCTATAATAAATTTAACCAGAAAAACAAAACCTCTCTGAATTATGACCTTATTCAAAAATGAATAGTTAAATGTTTAACTGTTCACAGGCTGTGATCTGAACCTAATATAATTCAGCACACAACACTTTGGTATTCCCTTCTAGGGGTGATATGATATAATTAACATATAGTCAGATTAATTTGATAAATTCAAACACCCAAAGGTTTTAACTCTATAAGTGTCAAAATAATCAAGTCATCAATTGAACCAGCAATCTTTTCATAAACTTCATTAACTAATGAGCTATCAGCTGAACTGACAGCTCTGGCCATACCCCTGTACCAGACACCGATAAGCATTATCTGAACTGCTAACCCATTATTAAACAGTAGTTAAAAAAAAAAAAAAGTGCTATATTAGGGCCAATCATATTTATTTGACAATTAACTCTTCATCACAGCAGAAAGATAAGAGTACAGGAAGCAGTGGGCCACCCTACTACTTCCCTGATCTGAACTTTCTAAGTCCAGGAATTCCGCATTTAAGGTGTTAATCAATACCAGTGATCATGAAGCTGACAGGTAAAGGGAAAAACTTGTATTTATCACAGATGCTCCATTTTAAAGTTACTCTTTTATAAGGTATACGAAAATCAGAGCCAAAAACGTCAGCTAGCCCGCTGCTTCTCAGCTGAGGAGTGTGTATATGTGTATACTGGCATTGGGGTGGGGGCAGGTTTAGAAAAATTTGAGACCTTTCTATAAATAGGTTCCCCACTCTGGGCATCAGAGATCTTGCAGGACAGAGGTAGTGGCTGGCCCATTTCAGATGGACAAACACCGAGCTAGCCTTAGCACAGGAAAACTTTTATCATTTGTTACCAATACATATATAAAGAATGTTTCAAATGTTTTTTATCTTAGAATATAAATGATTTATTAACATTGCTCCAAATCTATATATAAAATATTTAAGGATATTCCTTTGAACCACATAAAAATATCTATCAAAAATTCTCCAGAACTTATTTACATAAAATTATAGTAAATAAGATCTACAACTTGTCCCAAATCATTTTTGAAATTTGCATATTATCATTTTCTTTCCATATAATGAAAATCTCTAAGAAATGTATACATATTTGCTTTTATCAGATTCTTATTTAGGAACTCATTTAATCTGTATGTGATCAATTTAGAAAACATACTTTAGGATCACTTTTCCCCCCCGCAATCAAAATAAGATACCTTATAATTTTAGTAGTTTGGTTACAGAAATTTATATGAACATTCCTGAAGCTTTGCGGCCAAAGCCAAAAAAAAAAAAAAAAACCACGAAAGAAAGAAAATACAGAAAAGCAGGTAGCGACAGCAGGAGCAGCAGCACAAAGCATGCAATAAATGTATAATACATCACAAAAACGTAAGCACATTGTGCAACCACAGGCAAAGGGGTGAGAGGGTGGAGGGCACTGGGAGGGGACACAAAGGGCGGGAGTCTCTTACACGTCTGCCTTTGCTAGCTGGAGTACAGGATGGAGAGCGCTTCAACAAAGAAAGGAGAATACTACACGTTACACATATTTACACACGTGACTCTACGACTACCACTGTCTTAACAAAGTATATAAACATACATATAAAGACATTTTTTGATAGTTGAAAGGATGTGTATTTTTCAGGAAAAACTGGAGGACAGGACAGTAAAGAAACAGCTGCTCAGACCAGGTCTAAGAGTGATACTAAGTTTTCACTGGACCTCGCACAAAGAGTGACTCACGAAATAACCCTTTATCAAGTGGCGGACAACTTCCCTTCTGGAAAGGTTGGTAGTAGCAACTTGAAACATTAGCACTGGGAAGCATTTAATAAAATATTTAATTAATCTTGCTTCAGACATTTACCTACCAAATTCTTACTCTTTTCAAAGACGATTCTTTTAAATAAAAGCTAAATAAGGCCTTCAGAATGATTAATAATGGATTAAAACAATAGCAGTTGCTTCAACATTATTGTCCATGCTGACTAGGTATTAGGCTTAGTCAAAAGAGGGACCTTCTAAGAATTAAGTAACAATAAGTATGTAACAATTATATAAAAATACTTTTCAAGGTTTTGAAACTGCAATATTGAGCTTCACAAATATGAACCATATCTACTCAGGCAATTTACTATATTCTCTTCAGCCTAACATGTTGCGGGTTTACAATATGTCAGGTATTTAGAAGAGAAGGCGTGGCGAGTGAGGCTGGTGGAAGACACAGGGCCATTGACAGATACTATGATAAACGCTGTTGTAACAGAGGTACGTACGAAGTCTGCAAGGGGACCTGGAGGAGGGATGTCCAGGTTTTTATGGGGACCTGAGGAAGGACTTTATAAACTGAGTTGACAGGAGTCACAGAGGAGTTCAGAGAAAACTACAAGGACCAGAAGCGTAACTCAGGATGATCAGTTCTATTTGTGCAATAGCTCTGGCAGACTGCTGACTGGGAACTGGTATTTCTCCCTACAGGAAACTGGAAAGGAAGGTGACTTCCCTGTGTCCCAAAGAGTTAGAAGCAAACCAGAATTAGAAGGCCTGCAGGTTCTAAACAAGTGTTTTGTTTATTAGTCCAGTCAGTCTTAGGTCTAAAGTCTCAGATTTAAACCTGGTTTCATTCCCTCACTTACTGCTGGAGGTACCCGTCTCACCCTCCCTCCCCGAAGCAAACACTGAGCAGCTCAAGCCCCACCTCTCCCTCTAGCTAATATTTAATCTCTCCTCTCTCTTCCTTAATAATTCTAAGAGCTAATGTCTATCCTGTGTAATACATAGAGGTGCTTTACCAAGTATTTTACATATGTGAATTTAAAATTCTCACAGAATTAAGGTAGGTAATACAATCCCCATTTTAAACACAAAGAGAATAGAGTAACTTGTCAAGGTCACAAAACTGGTTGGTGGCGGGGCTGGGATTCAAGCTTTCTCAGACTTCTCAGAAATGGCACACGATCAATGTTCATCCACTTCTCAGTACGGTGTGGCTTCTGCTTTGCCCATTCTAATGAAATGCTGATAAGGTCAGCAGTAGCCATCTGTACCAAGGGGGTTGACCATTCCCTCCTTAAAACTCCGTACTCCCTTGGTTTTTGTGACATGCCACTTTCCTGCGTAAGCTCATCCCCTCTGACCACTGCTCCTTCTCTTCTGTGGAACCTGGTTCCTCTGCTCCTTTCTCGATGCCAGATATCCCAGGTTTCAGTTCTGGCTCACTACTGCTCTCACAGAACTTCTCTTCCTGGGAGATCATCTCCTTTCAACAATGCAGACCATTTCCAAACCTCTCCGATTCATGTAGAAAACTATCTGCTGGACATCTCTACCTGGATGTCCCTCAGGCACCTCAAGCCTGACTTGTCCAAAATGAAGCTGGTTAGCTTCACCTCTGTTAAACCTTGTAATAACTATTACATACGGAACTGATAAAATCTAAGTCCCATAATACGCAATGTCAAGTCATCCCGATTCTGGCCTGGCCTGTTTTCAACGCACTTACCAATCCCTGCTTCATCCCTTTTGCTTTCAGCAAACTGAACTGCAGTCTCCCTCTGGCCTCTCCCTCCC